TACGCACATCATCGTTGGGGACACGCTGGTGCCATCCGACTCCAAAAACGCTTCGCAGACAACGATGATCAGAGACTTGAAGGCGCCTCAGATATTCAGACCGAAGGGGCCAAGTTTCACTACCATAGAGCAGAACGGCGCTCACTGTGGTCTTATATGCACGACCTTTCAGGCGGAGTGAAACTCCCCTCTGTCGCCAAAGATGCCGCAGGTTCAAGATGACAGATCTGCCCTTTGCAATACGTGAGCTGACGTCCATCGTTGCTGATTCAGCTGTCATAATAAGTGAATTGATCAACCACCTTGAGTTCCTCGTTAGCAAGGGTCAAGAGGTCACCAAGTGGCTGTGGTCCTGCAGCAACACATTGCACTTTGAGGATGCAAAGCGCATACTAAATAATGGGACTACTCTGGACAGGCTATTCAGAGTGGATTGTGTCACCCCAACATCGTGGAAAAGCAAAACGATACCGTACGCATAAGTAAGATCAACTAGACTTTAACCATGCGGGACCTCAACGCCTATATCCAGGGATTCGGCAAGGAAACACTCCATGATAGAATCCTCAACGAAATTGTACAAAAATGGGATAATCGGACAACCCTGACGAACGCCACTTGTGATCGGTAAGCTATCCAACAGATCACCGCAGACCCTGACGCGGCCTGTAATGTTCGAGTATAGAGCACATAGGATGTTTACATATTTCGTGGAAACACCTTCTAGACATAGAGCATTCACTTCACACAGATTGACCGCATCTTTGTTGATATTCTGCAAATCTCATCCGTGCTTATGTCCCCTCGTCATTAGCAACAGACATGGGGTCACCACAGACAGACTAAGACCGGTAGATGAAAACGTCGTCGCATACAACGAGACTCAAATTAAGCGCACCGACATAACAACAGCGAACAAAACGTATGGCACTAAATTCTTGCTAGATGCGAAAATGTGGTTTCCAGTCAAGTAAAGTCAAGTCAAATTAAGCTTTGTACCCCCATAGGGGCACATTTTCAGCACAGTATGCTATCAGTGTGAGTATTACACAACATAGCGTTAATAAAAAACAAACTGACAGAAAAATCGAAAGGAAATGCATTTTCACTCAAAAATACACTCACGAAACTAATACCTTATCCCTATTGAGTTGACCAAAACGCGTGACAGATATGGCAAGATGGAGTTGCGATACGGCGACGCAGAAAAAAGGAAACCAAATTGCAACCCGTAGAAGACATAAATATCGTATTGGCTATAACGGTGGGTAGAGCTTCATAGGGGTCGAAAAAATCAGGCATGAATAGTTGATGCTTGCTTCGAAAGGTTTGATAACTATAACACTAACGAGGGAATCGTTCCCCACGTATGTCTGCTCACCGTTTACTGAGGAGGGCCTTGATTTATCAACCAGATGTAGGGTGGCGCAAGGCTCGAAGTGAACAAACGTTGAGTTGGCAGTGTGAAACGAAGTCAATGACAACAAAACTTGGTGTCATCGGTCCCTCTCGCCTTCCACGCTGGAGTCCATGTGCCCCGCCTCGTGCTTGGCTCGCGACTCTACAGTACATGGCTTCCAGTCAACACAAGTGACGCGTCTGCTGACATCTCTTAGTCGGGCTACCTGTTTAAAAACTGCTTGGTGCTGAGTTATTTGAGGAATAATGGCTGATCATGACGTGGGGGCCGTGGAACCCGCAAGGAAACTGTCTTGCCGATAGCCAACCGTTTGTGATGGTGTGTTGCTGACAAGGTGCAGACGTCTTGATCCTGAGTGTTTGCTTAGGTTTTAAATCAAGTCCTCCTCTCTCATTGCTCTGTCTTCCGTAGAGCACCGTGGTTGCATGGCAGCGAATATAAGTACAAGTGATTGATGTACTGCTGTTGATGATGATGGTGATGATGATGACGTCCTGAAACATGCAGCATTACGCACCAGTCCAGCCAACATTGCTTGCATAGCCACTGTGTCAGACCCAAAGAGAGCTGTGTCGTCTGCAAACTCAAGGCTTGTGAATCTGTCACCTAACAGAACTCCTAATCCGGTAGAGTATGGAAGAACCACGTAATTAATGACCATTTCGATCACAAAGCTGAATATAAAAGGAGACACAGAACAATCCTGATGAGCCTCACTTGTCGTGGGGAACTCAGAAGATACCTTACTATAGGCACTTAGAGAGTCTCAAGAGTCACGGTAGAAATCATTCACCATGGAAATGAGTTTATTTGGTACGCTCTTCATGGATAGGCAGTTCCACAAACAGGCGCGGTCAACAGAGTCGAAGGTGGCTTCCAAGTCAAGGAAAGCCACTATAGTCAGTCGTCGGTAAGCGTATCTCTACTCTGACATTTGGTGAAGAGTAAATGTGTGGTCGATGCAACCAAGACCAAGACAGATACCAGTCTGGTTTTCATCGATTCGGTTACCGAGAGAACCAGTAAGTCGTCGAAGAACGATACCCGTGAGAAGTCTGGAAACATTGGAGATAGGACTAATGACTCGATAACTTTCGCACAAAGTGCGCTGACCATTCTTAAAGATGGGCAAGATAACAAAGATGTGGAAAACGAGACGAAAGACAGATGGAATTGAAAAAATAAGGTCAAGGAAATAACATTAAAACCGATCGGGTTAGGTGTTGGCAGTTCGATGCAGAAAACTCAGGACGGTGGCGTCACAAGCCTGACGACTGCGTTAGGTAATAGTAGGCTTACAGCTACTTAGATAGACATTCAGAAGGACATCCGAGGGGTGTTGAAAAAGAAACCGAACTCTGAAAATAGCGCGGCAACCGGAAGAGGGAGCGCATGTGGTGGTTTGCTTAGACAAAAAACTGTCATTTCTCGCATCTCGTTCGGACTGTTGTTTGGGGAGCTACAGTCGCTGAAGTGTGCACGTACATAAGCCGTTCGTCGGATTATTGTTAAAGAGACAATGAAAAAGTTTGAAGAACAATGCGTGCAACAAACCTGACAAAACGTTTACAGAGACATTTCAATTGCTTAGCCGAGTACACAGGTAGGACCGTATGAATAGTAAGCAGTGCTATGAGTGCTTTAAGTGTATTGAACACGGTAGAAGGTCGGTTGGTGACGATTCCAAGTCTGGACGTCCTTCCACCTAAACAGACGATGACCATGCCGAGAGAATTGGTGCTGTGATGCGTGACAATCGTCGTTTGACTGTTCGAGAAGTCGCTGAGGAAGTGGACATCAGCATAGGATCATGCCATCAAAGTCTAGCGCGCTGGAGGAATGCTGTGCGCAAGAAGCCTGAACTGTGTGGAAACCAGACGCTGAGGTTGCGTTATGACAATACGCCGGCTCACGCAGCGCGCCTTGTCCGCAGCTATCTAGCAAAACATTACACTTCCGTTATGCTCCATCCATTGTATTCTCCGGGCTTAACTCCTGCAGACTTTATCCCGTTTCCCAAACTTAAAACCACGTTGAAAGGACGTCGTCTTCAAATCATAGAGGAGATTCGGGATAATGCGACAAGAGACCTGCGCTGCATCTCAGAAAGTGCGTTCTGGGTAACTTCTTAAAAATAGAAGCACTCTTGGGAACGGTGTATTGTCAGTGCAGAGGACTCACTTTGAGGGGAAAAATGGTTAAAATGTTGTGTAATGAATAATAAAGATATTATAGCAAAGCTCGGTTTTTTGTTGAACACCCCTCGTTTTCACGAAGATGGCACATAACAACCGGATCAAATCTCGCAGTAAATCGAACCAAGATTTGGTACGACATCATCTGACAGTCATATCACGTTTTCACTCGGCTAGGTACAACGACGTGAGGAGTAGACGCAGAGAAAGGTGGATAACGAGTGATATCCGAACTAATAAGCAACGCAACGCAAGCGCTTCAACATTAGTAGGTACTCCGAAGCGACAGCAAAGGGCATTTTGTTCAAAAAGGTGCCTCCACCAAATAGGAGAAAAGCTGCGCAATTATTGGTGGTCAGAAATAAGGAGCTCATCAACGTCATCAGCGCACGATGGCTCGGGCTTTGATGCGGATAGTGGCAACGGTCTCCACGCGGCATTTTGCACAATACCACTGTGAGATTCCACTGGATACCTAGCTGAGTGAAATATCGAAAAGCGACATAAATTTTGTTGATATCAGTAATAACCTTACCAGCCATTTGGTCAGCAAATGCAATATAACTATGACCGATAGACTGCTCAAAGCAACAGTTCAATGACAGTTGGAAGCGGAGAAACGAGGACAGACTGTGCGGATCGATAATATACAGTTGCCAGTTCATATGATCTAATGACAGATTGGGTGGACCATAACGTAGTTAACGTAGGTTTAAAAGAGGAATACCACCAACAAAGTAAGCAAATTTGGGTGTGTACTGGAGGAAGACTCGTTATTTTAATGTGGAAACGATTGAAACAAATAATGTTTGGGAATCATTAAGACGTTATAAGAAAACTTAAGTCCGTCAGGCAAGGCAGGTACTTATGTATTCTTTTGTTGGCCCATGTCGAAGCTACTAATTTTGACAGGTAGCTCAACTGCTCTAAAACCTGAACAATTCTAGGTTAACCTGTAAATATGCGTAGACTTTTAGGCAAACTGTATCGTTTCGGTAGCCGATTCCTTAGGTTGTTAACCTCTGGTTTCGGTTAAGATTGGAACATGCGAGGAACGACATCAGTTTAGCCGGAATCGCATAGCAAAAGGGAAAATTTAACAGTGTTTACACAAAACTTGAAACAAGTTTATATAAGCTAGTGGAGCACCAGCAGGGTGGATTTTGTGCAAGGATATCATGAAATAGAAAGAGAATCATGCATGCTCACACAAGTGTAGTAGTGGCTGGGTAGGATGCAGAGGTAAGGCGTCGTTGTTGTAGCCCTGAAAACAAACAAAGGCACGCATACTAAACATGTGCCACAGAGAAAAAACAGCGTTGATCTCAGACGGAATCAGAGTAGAATGACAAGTGGCCAGAATGAGTGAGCGGAGTATGGCTTACGTGTACTTCAGGTCGGGATATAATCGATGAAGGGATTTCAATGGGTTGATTGGATTGTTTTTCAAGTAGTCATCTGCAAACAGAATGAGATGCCATCAAAGATGACAAGAGTGCACGAGGGAGAAGGCAAAGAGTAAATCCACGCAGAAGAATGATGCTTGGTTGATAACTAAGGGATGTATAAATATATACACATAAATTAGACCTTAGCATGGATAAAAAGTGTTCCACTTTAGTTGATTTTCCCAGTTCTCTTATTCTGATGCATATGCTGTGTCAAGTTTGCGTGTTTGCTTTCCTTCAAATTCCATGTTGGTTGTTTGATATCCCCGCTGTGGTTGCACTCCATGTGAACGTTGACAAGGTGCCTACCAGTCTAACACCCCCGTATCTCGAGTATAAGCTCCAGGAGATAGTTGATTGTTGCTAGAAGAGACGGATTGCATCGTGGTTCCATGCAACCGGTGTGAAACGGACTACGGCCCAGCCATTGCCTTGTCTACGTTTGGTACGTATTATTCCCCAAACAGAATGCTACTGCTGTGCATTTCGAAGAAGTATGGGTCGGCTCCGTTAGTGAAACGTGGCTCCCATCCACATGCCTCCCGGTCTTATTCCTTCGAGTTTACAATGGATATGGGGTGTTTGGATAGAAATGTGGGTGGTGCACCGCAAACCAGCCATGGCCCCTCTGTAGGCGCAGGCGTCCTGTGGCTGTCCCGGTGAAGGTCACAATGACAGGCAAATCCGGAACCGGATGACGCCAACCAAATCCAACAGCCCAGGAAATGGACCTGGAGTCATCAAAAAAATCATGGGAATCAAATAGAACGGAACCATATCTTTTGTTTTGCACATACCCATGGTTTCAGTTTTGGTCAATTACAATGTTTGAGGTATTAAAGATGTGAACCAATACAATTATGCACACAGTTCTTCCACTGAATCCGGTAGTGGGCCATGTCTTTAAACGTGTTAAGACAGTGCCACTCTTCACCCTTAGGTCCGATCCAGGGAGATGTACGGGTTTAACAACGGATAAACGAGATATCAAGGACTTCATGTGTTTTCGCCAGGCTGACCACCACACGGTCGCCTCCAATCCGGTCCTGGATGAGCGAACACAGCGCGCGCGGTGAAGATTCAGGCGTCGTGTGTATGACGTGATCGAGCCGTCACAACTGGAGTAGCGATACTCTCATTCCGCAAGAGAAGACTTCGAACTTCATAATTGTGAACTCGATGTTGCCACCAAACATGAGCCATCCTCCTCAAACAACCATTGTCGAAGGCAGAAAGACGACACGTGTCCTCTTCATGAATTGGCCAAGACCCGGCCCCATGAAACACTGCTGAATGTACGGGTACACTGAAAACGTGGTCCTTGATCGAGATGGGGATGTCACGACAACACCACAGGTACCCCAGATTGACAAATGTCGATCGACCTTTAGCGATGCGAAGAGGAACTTCCGTGCTGATAGTGCCGCCAGCAGAAACATAGCTCCCAAGGTAAACTAAATTATCTACCTGTTCAAGAGTGCGCACAGGAGTGGGTGTGGGCCAATGCTGAAGCATCACTTTACACATCGAGGGAGCGAAGGCTCATGCCATCTGAAGCTGACTGCATTGTGATCAATTTGAGACCATGCTTGGGTTGGCGAAAGGGAAGCCAAATTGCAGAACGTTTCTTTGTATGCCTGAAATTGTTGCTCGAGTAAAACAAATGACTATCTTCGCAAAACGTGAGAAGTCTCTCCGTTGTCCACAGCGAGGACAATGACATCCGAGTTGTTAGCGTTGCTCAAGAACTGAGGAAGCTTCGAAAGATGTTGTCCTAATCCGAGCCACTACTGCAGCCATTTGGAGGGTACGCGGAGACTACAAACAAGCTGCGTCTGTGTTCGCGACGCTTATTGTTTCTACATGAACCCCGAAGCCGAAGAACACAGTCGACTGTTAATTGGGAAGCAGTCCAGCAGTGACGCATCAGGAATTACCATCTGGTGATACGGTACACTAGACAAACCCGTTGAGACTGCTTCTGGATTTCCAGAAAGATGCGGGTAATATCTAGCTTTGTGTTTAGTGGGGAATGCTAAAGTAAGCACAGTGTTGGTCTTGCAATCGGGTTCCGGAAAGGCAGCAGACGTCAACATCGAGGGACTCCAGGCTTGTTGTCCAATCTGCATGACTGTAATTAAGGTTGTAACAAGCAAGAGAGAACGAGGATCTGAGTCGATGAGAGTCGCACAGGTTCACGGTGCAACCAGAGTGGCAGGTAGATGCATAAACCCGGGAATCGGGTAACGTATAACAAGGACTGCTAACAAAAACCGAGTTTGTAAGTAGTAGGGGATTTAATTAGTTTTAGTGAAGATCTGTCGCAGTTAGACTCAGACAGACAACCAACACACACCCAAAGAAGCGTTAGACGGCCGTTTCGTCCTATTGGGACTCGTCAGTAACGCGCACCCGCAGAATCTTGCCGGATTCGAACCCACGACCTTACTCTTGCGAGCCAGCGGCTGATGTCATTGAGCCATGAGCGACGGCAGCGGACCGCCATGACTCATATCTAACTGCGATATAGAGCGGCTCATCCTCCACTGTCATGCATGTTGTCAGCGTGCAGAGGACAGGGCTGGCCTCCAGAGCAACGACTTATTGCGCAAGCCGCCACCAATCGAGATGGCATGTAGGCTGCTAAGGCGACTACTGATTATTTGTAAGTGGTAGGGGATTTAATTTAATTTTGTGTAGCTCATCGCAGATACGCTCAGACAGCGACTACACATCCAGGAAAGCGCTAGACGGCCGTTTCGTCCTATTGGGACACGTTAGTTTGGCGCACGCGCCGAAGCCTGCAGGATTTGAACCCGCGGCCTTACTCTTGCGAGCCAGCAGCACGGTTTTTTTGCAAAGTCGATCCTGTGCAATGTGTCAGATGGACTTCTTAAAATCCACAGCGGACGCCAAAGAGGACGGATACCATGCTGAAGTCTCGTTCCTGGACATGCAAACGGCCTTGAGAGAGGGCCTCCATCAGGACTACTCAAATAGTTGAAGGTAATAGGCATCAGATAGCCAATGTTTTCTTGGTTGTCTTTATACATCGCTCGTAGACAGCAAGCAGTGCACATTGGTAGTAATTCATCTAAACTGAAAGTAGTCACCAGTGTAGCAACTCAAAGGAGTGCTCTTGGACCACTTCTTTTAAATCTACGTCAACGACGCATTTCAGAGAACAAAGTATGACGCTACATATCTGTTTACTGATGATATCGAAGTCGTCTATCCACAAGAACATGCAAATAGCCAGGAAGTCGTATCATACAGAATGATCTTTCTGCCACCCGTAGACAAGTGTACTATCTTGTACCAAAATGCTAAGTAACGCCAAATATATACTACTGCAAGGCCCATCCATCTCGCAATGTACGGCAGTTCGCGACGCGCGTGTGCTATATTCTGTCACCATTAACTGTTTTAGAGATTAAGAAATTCAAGTGTCGAAGACGTCGTAGACCACTGGACACATGTCACTATGTTTAACTCACCTAACCACGAATCCATACAAAGCAAATGCATTACTGAGTAGGGAATAATGCGCATTGGTTCAATTAAATCTAGAAATGTTTGACCAGCATGCTCTTGACGGTACACCGACGCTTCACGAAAAAACTTTGCGGATACTCCTCAAAGATGATATACAGAGATTATTGCGATAACTTTGGACGTGACCAATTCGGGCTTCAGAGAAGGAAGCTGAACGTGTGCTTTAATTACATGACCTCAAACCTACATGTGCACAGTTCTGAGACAGGTGTTCACATATCTTCGGACACCAGGTATACCCAACACGAAACAAGGAAAGGTCACGACTCCTAAGTTCACTAGGAAAATCAAGTGTTTTATTCTGATCCAATGCTCAAAGATCCGGAACAGGCTTCCAAAAGAGATCAGAACGTACCGCATAAGTGTAACGCTGCGAGTAATGGGCAACCGACTGTTCAAAACGCAGCTAATGTGTGAGCAATGAAGGTGTTCGAAGTCTTGTTTATGACGCAGGTAGAAGAAGTGAACGGTTCAGCACCGTTATTTCAGGTACCAGGCTCCGATGACTGGGCCGCGTGTTGCGCATGCCAGCCCATCGAATCCCGCGACGTGCGTTGTTTGCGCGCCGGGTTGTGGATAGAAGCGAGGACTTGGTCAAGATGAATGAAGGCCCTTACTTCGAAGTTGGCCTTGGCTACTTGGTAGGGATCCGAAAGACGATGAACACCTCTGGTTGGGTAAACTTGTTGACATGGATAGGAGCCAAGTTCAATGGCGTTTGTGTTGTGAGTCTCCTTGTCCTTCCCTCTCCTGCTTAGCCTCCTTCTCCAACCACGATCTCGTTTATTAGGCGTAATATAGCTCCTTTTTTGCGGCACAACAGATGGCTGTTAGCTCTTCGGAACGATGTCGATCCGTTAATGGTGGCTCAGCCGGCGTGCCTCTCATATGTTTCTTTCTTTGCTTTTTTATTGCGGCACAATAGCTGAGGCGTTTTTCATCTGTAGCTAACGTGTATAATGATGATGAAGATGAGCACTGGATTACGCTTTCAAGAATGGTATGGATGGAGCCTCACAAAATAACGAACAACACATGTATCCGGGTTAAACGAACATACACAGATCACCTTTTGGCACACAGGTTCTTCCGTTTTGTTTGCTTCTCGATCCGAAAATCTGGTGCGTTTGTGATGAACACGGATTCATCGATAAGTTGAGGATGATCAAATGGTATCAGTAGCACGCCGGTACGCAGGACCGACGCTTCGGTGCCGCGCAACCACCAACCGTTGCGCGTGAGCTACGAAAAATGCATGGGTCGCTCTGTCTCTACGCTGGCTCCAACCCGCGCTGATGGCCGGCAAATAACCGAGCTTACTCCCATTAACATGAAAGTTGCGCCCATATTTTTCAGTTAATTGTGCGGTATCGTCTAGGAAACGGCTTCTGGAATTGTCGAGCAGTATACAAGCAATTTATTCACAATGTAGTAGGTAAATAGCCAATGTAGCAATCGTTGGCCGGTGACCGAAGGAAGAAGGCATTTGGATTGCAACCAAAAGATCACCGGTGCGAATCTGTGTAGGTGCGCCTGACCTCGCAGTACTACTAACGCACGCGGGACTGATGGTGGTCGCATGGCAGTGAAGCGTTTTGGTGTGGCGCGCCGGCGTAATGCTGATGCATATGCAGTGGTCATACACAAATAATCCACGGCCGTTGGGGATCCAAAAGATGTTAACCTCATCGGAAGCATCAAAGCCTTCGTTACAGAAAAGGTCAAATAAAGCGGCGTAAGCAGTTCGAAATGAAAAACTCACGGATGCGGTCGTCCAAAAAATGATGAATGATCCCGGATACCACCTCCAAACTGCCGCGAGTGTCGACGAACACGGCTCCGAGTATGGATTCGAAGACATCCGCGAGTGTTTTAATGCGCAAGCCCTTGAGCACAGCTTGATTGATTAGCTGCAAGTATCAGAAGAGTAAGGTGGAATGGATGAGGTATGTCTATGCCGAAATAAACAGGTAGTTAGATGCCATTCAAGAGGCGGATCAGGCATAAGCGAATGTCTACCACAAAGCCTACAGCACTGGGATGTCTAAGATACAAGTATGTTCGATTAATACCTGAAGCTGTGGAAACGGCAACCAAACCGGTCGTTAGTAAGGAATCAGGAGTGACCTTAATGACCTCAAAAAGAAGATGGTGAATGTAAGATAGGGAACCATACGACTTCGTCAATTGCGTACGGGAAACTAACTACACTTCTAAAGAAAGAAAGCTTCCTGTTGTCTTTCTACCGCAACCCACATCGAGTCTATAAGTTTAAGCCAGCGCCAGCAAAGACAATACGTTGTAATATTTGGTCTCGATCAAAGTGTATGGGGTGAACAAGCAAACTGCACAACTACTTAGATGGTCCCACGGGGAATGATGGGAGCAGAAGCGAAAGAACGTCATCACGCTGTTGTGATGGTGACTCGAGTTCAATGAGAGCAAGGAATATAAAAGACGTCAAAACTGCTTATCATTGGATCAGAGTGTAAGTGTTGGTGCGAATAGAAAATATGTAATGTACGTTAGGAGTCAAAACAATGGAAAGGGAGTCTAAATCTGTACGTTTTATGAGGCCCAACTACAATAGTAGGCTTGTGAAATACAATACATTGTAAACGCGAAGGCAACGAGTGCAGTACATCGCGCTAGTTCGTCCAGGACACAATGGCATGAAAGATAAACGACCCTGGGTAATTTTAACAGTTCATTTAATGGGCTAGTGAACCATCACGCATGCACAGCCAATAAGTAGTGTGCGGTCATGCACCAAACTGTGTCGGCAGCGCCCACAAGTCCCAGAAGGCTGGTGCAGTTTCAAAAGGCGGGAAAAGGCATCAACAGTACGCCGGTACGCAGTACGGATGCCTGACTGCCGCACAACCACCACCAGTCCGTATGGACTGAGGGTACTTGGAGGGTTGCGCGGTACCTAGCAGGCTCGAACCAGCGCCCTCGGATTAAAAGACAGGCTTGTTATGCTCATGGCCGGCAAAACAGCCGGGCCAGCAAAACAGCAGAAGAGAATTTGGTGACCACAGCAACCAAGCTCCAACTGAACGACGTCCCGCTGGTCGAGAGCTCAATGGATTGCCAAATCAGGGGCGCACTCGTTTAACTCCTGCAAAGCTAGGGCAAAACACCGTGTTACTTCACTCTGATGGATTAGTACGAGAAAGAAAAGAAATGCGCGGTAGATTACCCGTTAGTATTAAGCAAACAGGCTCCCAGCACCTGGATGCCATTTTTCAGAGTAAACATGGAAATGGCCTCGAGTGCTTAGGGGCCTACAAGTTTGGTAAGATTCTGAAGAACAATAGCTTTCCTGTACAGATCCGTAGGAGGTAAACAACAATCAATAACAGCAATACATCAGCCATTTGAACTGATGCTTCGCTGCCATGCAACCACGATGACATATGGAATAAAGAATAATAGAGAAGGGGGACTTACCTGAAAACCTTAACGCCCTAAGCAAACATTCAGGATCAAGGCCTCTACACCGGGAGTTAGCAACATACCGTCACAAACAGATGGATATCGTGCAAAGACAAGGGCGGCATCGGCAAGACAGCTGCCTTGCGGCTTTCACTGCCCCGCGTCACAATCAGCCATTACCCCGCAGATAACTCAGCACCAAATACACTTTAAACAGGCAGTCCGACTAAGAGACGGTAACAGACGCGCCACTAGTGTCGGTTGAGAGCCATGCCCTGTAAAGTCTCGAGCTAAGCACAAGGCGAGTCACGTGGACTCCAGCACGGAAGGCGAGACGGATCAACGGCACCCAGGTTGGTCATCAGGGACTTCATTTCCCGCTGCCAAGTCAACTTCTGTCCATCTCGAGCCTTGTGCCACACTACACATGGCAGACTAAACAAGACCCTCCTAGGTAAGCGGTGACCAGGCATACGTAGCACGTGCCCAAGGCAACAGTCGAGTTGCGGTTTCGAGCCCTACCAAGGGTCCGATGGAATGCGCACTGCTGATGATTCCCGAAAGGATGAAACGCGCGTACAGTGCTTTTCCGGGATTGTGGCGGCTGTCTGAGTGAGCCTAGATATGACGAAATTCTACCTATATCAGTGCTATTTGTTGGTCCAGGGAGCCAGCATGATTATCACTACCTAGTACTCGCCTAAGCACATCATCGTTGCGGACACGCTGGTGCCATCCGACACCAGGAATGCTTCGCAGACAACGATGATCAAAGATTTGAAGGCGCCTCAGATCTTCAGACCGAAGGGGCCAAGTCTCACTACCATAGAGCAGAACGGCCTTTCCGGCGGAGGGAAACTCCCTTCTGTCGCCAAAGACGTCGCAGGTTCAAGAAGGCAGTTCTAGACTTTACAATGCGAGAGCTGACGTCAGTTTCTAAGCGACCATCGTTGCTGATGCAGCTACCAAGTGAATTGATCAACCACCTCGAGTTCCTCGTTAGCAAGGATCGAGAGGATATACAGTGGCTGGTGGTCCTGCAGCAACACTTTGCACTTTGAAGGTGCAAAGCGCATACCAAATAATGGGACCACTCTAGACAGGTTATTCAGGGTTGATTGTGTCGCCGCAACATCGTGGAAAAGAAAAGCGATATCATCCGCATAATTAAGATCATCTAGACTTTCACCATGCAGGACCTCAACGCCACAAGGGAGCACTCCATGATAGAATCCACGACGAAATTGAACAAAAATGGGGAATTCGGAAGAGGTATCGGAGGTGGAATAATGTTAAGTGCTTGCTCCCCTTCGGTATTCGCACGAGTATGGGGACATCGATCCACGCATCCCTTCCAGACATAGAGTATTCACTCCACACAGAGATTGACCGCATCTTTGTTGGTATTCCGCAAATCTCATCCGTGCTTATGTCCCCTCGTCATTAGCAACAGACATGGGGTCAGCACAGACTAAGACCGGCATATGAAAACGTCGCATACCACGTGGTTCAAATTAAGCGCATCGACATGACAACTACGAACAAAACGTATGGCACTACATTCTTGCTAGATCCGAAAATGTGGTTTCGAGTCAAGTTAAACAAAGCTTTATACCCTCCCCCCATACGGGCACATTTTCAGCACCGTATGCTATAAATGCGAGTATCACGCAATATGGCATTAATGAAAAAACCAAACTGACAGAAAAATCGAAAGAAAATGCATTTTCACTCAAAAATACAGTCACGAAACTAATACCTTATTCCTATTGAGTCAACCAATAAGCGTGACAGATATGGCAAGATGAAGTTGCGATACGGCGATGCACAAAAAATGAAACGAAATTGCAACCCGTAGAAGAAATAAATATCGCATTGGCTATAAAGGTGGGTAGAGGTTCATAGGGGTCGTTAAGAATCAGGCATGAATAGTTGATGCTTGCTTCGAAATGTTTGACATAGATAACATTAACGAGGAATTCGTTCCCTAATCTTGAATACTAGGAAATAAATATTAGTGAGTTCACAAGAACATAATCACATTGAATAAGTCGGGAAAATAACAGGGAAACAGCATAACCAATAAAGAGAAATACATTAAGTATTGAGACCACAGTTTACTTTCTAGTAGACCTTGGTCATCCAGATTACTGGGAATGTATACGAAGTAGAGGGGTCCCGGCGTTGCCTCTCCCAACACTGACACCCCGTGGCCGTTTTCGTCCTGGTTTGGACTCATTAAATGAAGATAGCCTGAGCTGAGAGTGGAACTCAGAGCCTTGTGGTTTACAACTGACTCCTTAATCACCAAGTAATTTTTTCGAGCAACGCTTAACTACAATCCTACTTTCACCTGTGCACAGAGACCAGGTCACTGATTCATACATACAACAGTGGCCATACCACAAATAAAAGCACTTGGTTATCCTCCAATACGCTTACATCCCGCGGTCTTCATAAGAAAAAAGGGATCAGTAAGACACAGGGACCTAGTACCGATTCCACAAAACTACCAACAGTCGCCTTCATGGGACAATGATGCCGAGAAGTCGCGCGCATCCAAGCAGATTCGAAACGACGACCTGTATAGTGAAAACCAAACCGTTTAAACCAGTCAGCCTCAAGTCACCTTCATAACTAACGGGGTTACTCGAGTTGGTCAGCCCCGCGTCAGTAGTTAGCAGTAGCTGGGTCAGATCCAAACGGAGCTATGCTGTTGGTGGACGTTAGGTCAGAAAGTCGGTCAACAAACAGAACATCGACCCCAAGGGAAGTGGGGAGATGCAGAAGAGAACCAAAGCTGGGGTAGCTCCGACGAACCGCATGGCCGTAAGCACACGGAAGAGGGAGTCGTTTAATAAAGATGCTGCAATTAAAAATAATTTCTACATGAAAGATACGACAGAGTAGCTACCCCCAAGGCCATAACGTGCAAGTCAGTGGATAGTGAGCATCGCTATATCAGATCTAGTAGTTTAGCCACGACGGTCGTCACCGTCCTATGTAGCTCCGTGGTCAAACCCGAGACTAGTAACAGTCGAGTTGCGGGTTTGTGTCGACCAACGGCCATATGGAAAGTGCACCACTGGCGATTTCCAAAAGGATGAGACAACTGTGCAGTGCTTTTTGGCGCGTGAGTGCTGTCTGACTAAAAGTAGATGTGATGAATTTCTACCTGTCATTTAGCTCTCTCTTCTTCGTTCTTTAACTGCCTTGTAGTTCTCAGGTTCACATAGAAGTTGTAGAGATAAGGCAAACCGAATTTCATTACATCTTCATGTTTATACTCGGATGCACTGATCGCATGTTGTCACAAAGAACAAAAGTCGGAGACAAATGAATTCATTCGCCACATTGATTTCTAACTTCCGATCAGATTACACTACCAAAGCGCGGAGAAATTGACATTTGCATGGGTCAAATTACTCTATTTACTCCGCACAGACTTGGTTACGCAATAATGCGCATTTCCTTTTTGATCGCAACCTACTGGAGCGGAATACTACTGGGTCCTAAATAATAACCGAAAAGAAGAATGGAAACATGGACAAGATTTGTGCTATCTGTAACTTAAAAACTACAATAATTGGATAATTAATACGTCCTGCTCCTAATGAACGTGAAAACGGAACATACATCGAGCCTTGGGATATCACATCATCATGATTCGTTATACACGTGAGCTGCAGGTAGAAAACACGTTAGCTATGGTGCCGCAATACAAAAGATAAGAAAAAACAAAAGTGGCACGCCGGCTGAGTCCCAAGTAACGGATGGACATCGTTCTGGAGAGCTAACAGCCAGCTATCGTGCTGCAAAAAGAGCTATACTATGCTTAACGAATGAAATGGTGATTAGAGGGGGAGGCTAAGCAGGAGGGGGATGGAAAAGGAACCCCTCAGGAATCTGGCTTTCACTACTGTCAGTCAGTCTGTGGAGAACAACAGACGCAAACAATTTGGAGGTCATTGAGAGCAGAGTGATCTCTCTAGGGTTGCCGCATATTCCAAAAGAAAGTCTCGCTTGAAAATTGGGACTATGACGGAGCGCCCCAGTCTGTCGGGACACTTTCCTGCTCCCAAAGTTCCATTAACAATTCGTGTATGCAATTTCAACAGTCTGATCTCACATACGACTTCTGCGCGTGAAGGCGGATCTAAGGAGACGGCTCATGGAGAAGGTCACTCAATGCCCGAAAGAGAAAGCGATAACTCAGATTGGTTAAACTGCCTTGCAGAGTGTTCGGCCCAACACTCCAAAGGTTTTGACAAGCTGTGGATCATCTGTCCATTCGCGTCGCGTGTGGTCTCGCTAAAAGCAGGTCTCCTGCGGTCTATCTTCCATATCAGACGGAATGACTTACGATGATTACTAACGGCAGCGGCTGATTCCCTTTCCGATGCACGATGAGGGCACCAGGAAGGTGGCCGAATGATATGCGCGTTTGGTTTGCAACCATAAGGTCACCGGTTCGAATCCGCGTAGGGGAGGGAGTACCCGCGGTATACTCAGTGCACACGCAACTTGTGGTGGTAGCGTGGCAGTGAAGCGCCTTTACGACGTATAGCTGGCGATTTATTATTATTTTATTATTCTTTACCAGGCTTCGCGGTCTCACTTCAGGCTAGCACGCAGTTTTGCCCTGAGATTTATGCGAGTCTAATTGTATTTGATTCCGGCCGGAATACGGTGGTGAGCATCTATAATTTCCAGAGACTTTGTAGAAACCCGATGTCTAGGTTGGCGATTTGATTTGCCACATGAAGACATGCCTGCTGATAGTAACGTTTGGCGAATATGAGAACAGTGATCTTGGAAGATGTTCAGTGGACGCTTACTCAGCCCAGATGCCAGCGTAGTTTGTTACACATTCAGAACACCTAGCTTCGCCAGCTGGCCGGTGTCAATGCGTCCAGAGAGACGTTGTGGACGTCCGCCAAAACGCACCCGCAGGTCGGCACACACAAGAGCATGATGGGAGTCCACGTTGATGCTCCAAATCGAGCGACAGTTTTGGACAAAGCCTCTCTAGCGGTAACTAATCGCGATGTGATCGATTTGTGCCCATGGATGGCCCGAGGCTGGTGTGAGAATGTGCCGCCAGTGTCGTATGTCGGGGATCGCAGGTTTAGCACAAGGCCCAAATCTTGCAGGCGCGTTTCCGATAAACAGCAAATACCGATCGAGAGGGTCTAGTGTTCAGGCAAATGCTGCCTGTTGCCCATTCTGTAGCAAAGTGTGCAGTTTGAGGAATATCATACTTAGCGAGGATCGAGGACACCAAAGGAAAACGGATGAACTGACGTTGTCTGCTTGGTTGAACATGGGCTTGAGTGGACTGGAGAAACGCCTTGCGATTGTGTGTGAGTAGAAACTAGAAGACAAGCGACTATTGAAGCAAGGTAGGGGATGGCCGAGAATTGGGGGATCGAAAACAGAGGGATGAAAGTGAAGTTGGAATGGGAACATAAGGGAGAAAAAGCGCAATTGGTAGGAATAATAAGGCAGGAAGGCTTTGTGCAGTAGCATCTAAACCCCAATCCACCCTGCTCGATGCAGCAGATAGGGGGCCGTTTATTATCCTCTGCGACGACCAGAGCATCAAGTGATTGTTAAAAGGAAAGATATAAGATACTGGGGCGGGGGTTGCGACGGACCACAGGACGCATATATTCAGAGAAGCGCCCCGTGACGGCGCCTACAGATAAAAAACATCAATAACCAGTGCAAACCCCAGGGCCCCGGTGATGGCTGTAGCAACTGTTTCCGAGTCAGCCCGTACACTTCGTACAAGCATATAACATATGTATGATTATTTGTAAGTAGTAGGGGGATTTATTAGGTTGTTGTGTAGATTCGTCGCAGTTAGACACAGACAGACAGACACCACATATCCAGGAAAGCGCTAGACGGCCGTTTCGTCCTATTGAGGCTCGTCAGTAGCGCGCACCTGCCGAATCCTGCAGGATTCGCTCCCACGACCTTACTCTTGCGAGTCAGCGTATGATGTCATTGAGCCATGAGCGACGGCAGCGGACCGCCATGACTGATATCTAACTGCGATATAGCGCGGCTCATCCTCCACTGTCTTGAATGGGATGAATGTGCATAGGACAGGGCTGGCTCCCAGAGCAACGACTTCCTTTACACACAAAAACCTAATAAATCCCCCTACTACTTACAAATAATCAGTAGTCGCCTTAGCAGCATACTTGCCACCTCGATTGGTAGCGGCTTGCAAAGGAAGTCGTTGCTCTGGGGGCCAGCCCTGTCGTCTGCACATTCATTCCATGCAAGACAGTGGAGGATGAGCCTCGCTATGTCGCAGTTAGATATCAATCATGGCGGTCCGTCGCCCATGGCTCAGTGACATAAGTCGCTGACTCGCAAGAGTAAGGTCGTGGGATCGAATCCAGCAGGATTCAGCGGGTGCGCGCTACTGACGAGTCCCAGTAGGACGAAATGGCCGTCTAGCGCTTTCCTGGATGTGTGGTATATGCATGATATTAGAAACACATTCAACAAGTGCACATCGGGCAGTGGTTGAGCCATGGCTATTAAGCGTTATGATTGCGCCTTGAGTTTAGCGCTGTAATGAAGACGGACACCCCGTCCTGTTCAGTAACGATTAGCGGTTCCCTGTACCCATTAATCTGTGTGGCGGAAGGTACATTGTCGATGTTTATAGCAAACATAGCCAAACCGAAAATAACACTGGAGAATATGCAACCGTATACTAATAGACAAAGAGCCAACAGAAACCACGAAATTCTAAGGAAGTTACATAAATCATACAAGGAAAAACAACACAACGCATAGGAGTCCATGGTTTCGTCAGAGGGCGAGATACTACTCTGTTGCCAAAGCCGAGGTAATTCTTTGCTGCATGGTAGCTGGCTGATGGTTTTCCGGAACGATGCCCATCCGTTACTGGTAGCTCAGGTGGCGTGCACCTGTTGTCTTTTTCTTTGCTTTTCTTATGTATTGCGGCAGAGTAGTTAGGTGTTTTCCACTTCTAGCTAAGGTGTATAATGATGATTGTGAGGAACGTATACACTTGCGTAGTGAGTTTCATGTGCCGTGACCTATCTGTACTGAACGCATGCCACTGGTTTGATAAAGTTGCAAGTATACACGAAAGATACAGTCTATCATAGGCTTAACTCTAACCGATGCGACAGTTGTGCACAGGTAGCTATCTGGAGGGGGGAACCAAGTACAATGGCGATAGTGGTAAAAAGCCAGGGACTTATGCAACAATGCAAGGCGTTACATCGATCGCGATGAGACACATAAAAGGATTCGTTTGTCCGGTAGAGTTCATCAGTTTTTCGTGAACAATGAGACATGACGAAGAGACATTACTGCATTCATCATCGACAAAAATCAGACTGAGCAACGGCACACGGTACAAGCTTGTCGGTATGGCCGTCCTGGATGACCAGCAAGCTCTTTGTAAAAACACAGATACTGAGAAACAAAGTGTCTGATACCATGAGATGGACTACGATTCCACCACCAGAGGTAGCCAGCTAGACGAAATCAAGCAGGCGCATAAGTCTAGTGGGATGACGCCTGACATATATGTGTGCTACCTAGTGCAGTTCGGGCCGGTCAAATTTATAATAATAATAATAATAATAATAAAGGATGATAAACCCTGATCCACCAGAAGCATTTTACGCGGAGCACAGAGTTGCTCACTGCTCAATGGGGATTGATCAAAAAAGCAATTGTGAGGAAGCTGACCAAGGGACGAGACCTCGGCAAAAAATGGTGTCGGTTGGTAGAGACGCCAAGTCAATGCAGTACACCAAGGATGAAATGGATTGGAACTCATTGGACTAAGGAATACATAAAGAGCCGAAGCGAAAGCTTTGGCGATCTGAAGAAGAAATGTCCAAAAACGAGCAATTTCAGTCATATTAGTAGGATACAAGGGCCATCAAATTGCCAGCATTTCAAAGAAACGGAAAAGGAGTCAAAGGACCACGGAAAAAGTTATCCTAAGAAAGATCGTTCCAAGGAAACACCCGTAGGAAACTCACCTCCAACTGCTCTGCAAAGCAAGTGGTGCGTTCCAATATGAAGTTGAGGTAGGAGACGGCCGCGTCGAAAGAGGGTTGGGAGTGGTAAATGAACCGATGAATTTTGTGCTCCACTACAGCACACGCGAGACTGTTGTTGCTTACGATGTTAGCGCGCGATTCGGTCAGCCTCCCTTGGGGATGAAAACGATAAGAGTAAAGGTGTGATTAATCACTGAGGAGAGCTGGAAAGAGGAAGACGCTTGCGGTAAAACAGAAGCGGGGTTTTAAAAAGACCAGGATTCATCTTTTTAGCTGTGATAACGGTGCGGTCATTAATATTGAATAATCAAGGAGAAAAAGGTCGAACAAGAAGCCTCCCACAACAAATACGGCGCGGTGAATATGATTGAGCGTGAAATTAAGCGTTGAGTGGCGATCAATAATGTCTTCAATAGTACGCCGGTACACAGTATCGACGCTTCGCTGTCACGCAATCACCACCGGTCGCACGTGGGCTAAGGATACTGTGAGAGATGCCCCGTCCCTATGCAGGCTCGAACCCGCGCTGTCAGATTACAGGACAAGCTTGTTACCTTCAGGCTACGGGCCGGGGCGAACAACAAGGCGGACAGTAGAGAACAGTTAGCAATAATTAGGATGACCGGCAACTTCTGATTGAACACTGGACGTTGGAATGTCAACCGCGTAGCGGGTAATGCTTGTCATAGCAGTTGATGATTTACTGGAGGTGTCACCTTCAAGCATGCGTTATGTAGATGGATTGCGACGCGCAATCACAATTGGAACCTCGATTCACTCTGAGTTAGATCACAACCAATTCAGTTACGGGGATTGTGCCTGGCTGCATCTGTCTCAGATAGGGCCAAAGTGACCGGAATAGATGAGATTCACTTGAAAGTGAACAGCAGTCCAGAGTGAGAATGCATGTCGTAATCCATTCACAAAACGAGGATACACAACACCAACATAATATCATTTATGCATAGGGCCAACAAAAACCATGGAACGTACGACCTAGTCACAACAGTCATAAAAAGGGAGATGGATAGAAAAGGGGTAGTTCGTCAGTATAATGACTCCAGCGTTAGACAATTAAATCGAAGCATAAATTCGTACAATTCTTTCAATGAGTGTTTGGATGGTAGGAACGCCATGTGTTCCGATGTTACAGCACATAGTCGCTCGCTAGGCAATGGCGCACTTGTGTTTGAACTACGTGTGTTGTTCCGTTTTATGTGTGCAGTTATAAAAATCCGCCACACTCAATGGAACGGTGCATCTTTGGTTTACGGACAGATTTCGGTCCGCATTAGACTTGCTCAGGTCAGGGTAACACCCATTACGACTCCGGAAAAGCACTAGAGGGCCGTTTCTTCCTACTGGGATTCATCCGTAGTAAGTACGCATCCAGAACCCAGACGTTTCTCGCTCGCTACCAAACAATTTAAGTCACTGAGCCGTTGGTGATGGTGGAACGCAACAGTGATCATCAGCTGGGATGTAGTGCGGCTCAACCTCCATTAACACGCATGTTACTGTCTCACAGAGGATAGGGCTGGGCCTTTGAGACACGACTTTATTCGCTGAACCGCTAATGATTACATGGCTTTGTGCTCCAATTGTCTAGGCTGATTTCACTTTCTTCCATGCGCCTCTGAGTGATTGCCTCGGCACCATGTGACGTTGCTGAATAGTGTCCGGTCGGATGAAGCCACATGGTGAAATGAAGCATGAGTAACCGACCAAGTGACGTAATCAAACCGATAAGCTTTGCCAGAGGGAAGTTCCGGGATTGCTAACACCAGTGTTTGGAGACCTCATCTGAAAAGGTCCGGTTGTGGTGTCTTGTTGCCAAAAACTTTAACGATGGATTTGGGGATTGCGATTTTGTAGTTACTTCGACCTTTCCTCACCACAGTAAATTTTGCTCTTATGGTGATTTGGTACAATTCGTCATCCGAATCATGGCTGACACTTAGTAACCACTAGCGCTGACATCAGTGAGGATGTATGTGAAGAAAATGATCGAAAACTGAAGGATGAGGGTGCTAGTCGGCTGCTACCAGAGACTTAAACCGATCAGTGATTAGATATTGCATTGAAAGATGGTTCGATACCAGAAGACCACTATAGAGTATACCTAAATCCGCGTTTAGTGAACAAGATGGCAGCTCAGGTTGGAGGTAAATAAACACCATCTGCGCATGAAACAGCTTATACTAGTGGTCGCGTTAAATGACGCTCGGTGACAGTTCTGAGTTTGTCAAGCGTTTAAGAGCCACAATTAGCAGCGGGCAACAGTTGAGAAAGATCACGTCGATTGGTGGGAATATCTGCAATTGGCCATCACCAGCGTGTTGATCAATGATGCAGATAAATAGCCACGACTGCAAGGTTTGGATCGTGTTCGCAATGCGCAGTTGCATGATGGCATGCCAATTACCATCACCAAATAGCAGTACAGCTGTAATTTGTAAGAACTTATCGTTACTATGCAACCATAACTAGTCACCTAGTGACAAACAATGAAATAGATACCAGACGCCCTAAGCGAATATTCAAAAGCAAACCGCCTGAACCCTATGAATAACACATGAGAACAAAAGGGAGGTTATCGCACAAAGTAACATGGTATCAATGAAACTGCTGCGTGTCACTTAAAACAAACAACCTGGCGAAATTACAAAAAATGCGCCGTTGGTGTCGACTGTGAGCCGTGTCCTGTAATGTCTCTCTAGCCATTCATTGGATGGGGGTAAATCGTGTGTGGATTCTCAAGCATAAAAGGTGAGACGGATAAATAGTACCCAAGTTAAACGACAACGCGACTTCTCTTATTACAAACCAATTTTTTGCCTCTATTGAGCATTGCGTCATTCTGTAATCGGAAGGCAAGCGATGACACAGAATCTAGTCTGGTCTCGTCATCACCATCACCATTATACACGTTAGCTAGAGGTGGGAAACACCTCAGCTACTGTGCCGCAATACATAGAAAAAAGAAAAAAAACGCAACTGGTGCAAGCCGGCTGAGCTACCGGTAACGGATAGGTATCGTTCCGGTAAGCTACCAGCCGGCTATTGTGCATCAAAAAAAATTACTATGCAAAATTATATAAGAATAAATAATGAGATCGTGGTTGGAGGGGGTGGGACAAAGAAACTCACAGCACAAACGCCACTGAGGTCGGCTCCTAGCCATATCAGCAAGTGTGTCCAATCAAACGTGTTCATCGTCTTTTGGACCCCAACCAGGGAGCTGAGACGTTCTAACCGAGGCCAGCTCAGAAGTGAGGGCCTTCATTCCTCTGGACCGAGTCATCGCTTGGCCACCCCTCCTCTTCTTCCATCCACACCCCCGGCGCGCAAACAACGCACGTCGCGGGAGTCGGTGGGCTGGCATGCGTAACACGTGGCCGAGCCATCGGAGCTTGTCTGGTTTCGTAGCTAGACCAAAGGACTTAAGTAATTGTAATTGTTGCACTAAAGAACCAACCAACCTGGTCAGCACTACCAAGTGCTCACTGGTACTACTGCGCACTATCATTGCGGACACGCTGGTCCAATTCGATACGACCAACAACCCTCAACAAGTCACGATGACTTGAAGGCGCCTCGGATCTCCAGACGGAATGGACTCTCATAGAAGAGAAGGTCCTCATAATGGCCATGCAAACGCGCCCATTGCTGTTAACGCAGCTGCAAGGATTAGCGAGTTGATTTAATTTTTCTAGTTCTTGATCGTCGGGGATCAATGAATTAGCTGGCGCTTAGTTGATTCTGGAACAGCTCAGTGCGCTTTGAAAATGAGAGGACCATGTTAAATGATGAGGCCACTCCAGAATTTGTCAAGTTGTTATGGGGAATGCAAGTGCCCACAAACTCGCGCATGCGATGCAACGTAAAACTTAGACCCGCGTTCATCCCAGTTCACATGATTTGACCAGTCTCCGCATGTACAAGAATTCACATTTTCGGACTGGCAATAAATTCACTTTTTCTGATTAGCCCCAGTTATTAAAAACATTCATGTTTCCGAAATGTTCCACTAATATTATGCCAATTCATTCGTTAACGCATCGTTTAATGGCTTATATACCTCCGTTTCCGAAAACGTTTGTTCATTCGTTCGGTGACATTAGGAGTTATTACTTCCAGGCCGTTATAACACAATAGATGACTGGGCCGCTTGCAGATTGTCAAACAGCAAGGTTTTGTCGTTCTAAATGTATAGATTGACCAGTTTTCTCCTGTTTCGGACATATACATCTGTATCATGAGACTCCACGGGGCAAAACTAAAGAACGCTACATGTCGTCGGAGAGAACTCCATAGATGGTCGAAAATACTAGTGACTCGATATCTTCGAGTAAAGGATACCTAAAGTGCTAGTATGAGGCTGGACCTTACCGTAGTGCGACGGTTTGTGTGCCTCAACAATCCATGAGCTACGCAGGGTGGTGCTTATTTGCGCCTTCAGAGCCACCCATACCAGATTAATCAATGGGCAGACAAAATCAGTCTCCTGGTCCTCCAGGTTGGGGGTTGGAATGAGGGTGGCTCTATAATACTTAAAACGGACTCTGTAACCCACCGCCAAACCCGCTGCCTTGCGGTCAAGTTTTTTAACCAAAGGCTTTGGTCGAGAAACCTAATTATTCTCCAGTCTATGCCTGGGCAACCTGACAGCCTGCTGCCCAAACAATACTATGAAACCTTCCTCAAACAATTTCTTGGTGATCTGGTCAACGCAGAGAATAATCAACGGTGCCCTATCTGCTGCATCGGACAGGGTGGATAGGGGTTTGGATGTTACTCTCAAGCCTTCCCGTCTTCTTATTCCCCTTCTCGCGCTTCTTCATCCTTATCGTCCCGCTCCAACTTTACTTATATCCCCCCATTTTCAATCCCCAATTCTTGGCCCTCCCCCACCTTGCTTCAGTAGTCACTTGTCTTTTAGATTCAACTCACAGATGAACGCGCAGCGTCATTCCTGCACTGTCAACAGGCCCATGTCCAAGCGAGCGGCCCATTTCCAGTTGATTGGCTTCCATTTGGAGCCCTCGATCCTCCTTCAGATTGGCATGCCTCAATGTACGCACACTGCTTCAGATCGGTCAACAGGCAGCACTTGCCCGAATGTTAGAGACCCTCTCGATCGATATCTGCTGCTTATCGGGGACCCGCCTGCAACACTCGAGCTCTGTACTCATTCTGCGATCCCCTTCAGGTGACAACAGCAGCACTTTCTCATTGCCCCTATCCGGTGACAGTGCAGCTACGAGCACCGGCCAAGCCGGTGTTTGTATGGCCCTGAGTCCCCGGGCTGAAGCTGCTCTGGTTAATTGGATTGCAATCAGTAGCCGGTTGTGTGCGGTCCGATTGGCTGGCTCGTTCAAAACTTCGAAGTCGCGTGGGACTAACGTGTCTATTCGTCATCGCTGCCTATGCACCCACAAACTGTAGCGATGACTCGGTAAAAGACGACATCTATCGCCAACTGAACGAGCTCCTTCGCAACAGAAGTAGCACGGACACTGTAGTGCTGGCGGGGGGTCTGAACGCTTAAGTTGGAAAATTATCTACTGATGAACTGCATCTGGGCGGCCAACATAGTATAGGCTTACGTAATGATAACGGTGAGCGGTTACTTCATTTGTGTGAGGATGCCCGCTTATTTCTTGTGAGCACTAACTCCCGAGACAGCACCTGTCGGAGGGTGACTTGGCGCCCACAAGCCTCGAACCAACCATGGACGCAAATCGATCACATCACGATCAGTTATCGCTGGAGAGCCTGCGTACAAAACTGTCGCTCGATTTGAAGTACATGTGTGGATGCTCACCATGCGCTTGCATGTGCTGATCTGCGGGTGAGTTTTGGCGGTCGTCTTCGCCCACCCTGTGAGCACATAACCACTAGCAAACTGGCGAAGCCAGATGCTCTGAATGCGTATCGAAGTATGCTGACTTGCGGGTTGAGCAAACCCTCGTTGAATACAATTGAAGGTCACTTATCGCATGTTTACTAGACCTTACTAGGAGCAGGTAAATCAACGTGGTGAATCCACGAGGCGAAATGGACATTGGGTCTCTTCGCAGTCTCTGAAACTTATCGATGCTCGTCGGCAAATTCCGGCTGGAAGCGAACACGAGACTCGCAAAGACATCAAGACAAAACTCCGTGCTAGTCTGAAGACAGACCGCGAATCCTGGTGGTCTAATTATGCGTCAGAGATGGAAGTGGCCGCTGCCCTTGGTAACCAAAGAAAGTTGTTCCGGCTGATACGGGAAACGGCCAGCAGGAGACCTGGTGTTAGTGAAACTATACGTGAGGAGGGTGGACGGCCTATCAACAACTTGTAAAAACTTTTGCAGCGTTGGGCTGAGCATTTTGAACAGCAATTAATTCGACTGGAACTGTTAGATTCCTCACCAGCCAATGATCCCCCTGCTCCTTGGACTGTCCCTTTGGTTCCAACATTTCGCTCAAACTGTTGAAGTTGAATAAAGCCGCTGCACCAGATGAACTTATCCAGCCCTCTTCAAATTCGGCGGACCTGCTCTTGTGGATGATTTATACGAATTACTAGTGAAACTGTGGGAGTGGGAAACTGTCCCAACCGACTGGAGCCGCTCCGTTATTGTCCTGCGTTCGGAATGCGACAATCATAAAGGAATCAGTCTGATCCAATCGCCTCCAAATTACTTGTTCCTGTAATCCTTCACAGACTGACTAGCGCTCGTTGAAAGCCAGATTTGTAAGGAGCAGGCCGGGTTTCTTCATGATCGGGGATGCCTTGACCACATATTTACATTACGTCAGTTGTTGGAACACCGTCACATATATTGGCGGCCCACCATTGTCGTGTTCCTCGGCATCGAAGATGCCTTCGAATCAGTGCATCGACGTTTGTGTTTGGGACTGTCTGCTCAGGAAAGGTGTGCTTGATTAGTTGTTGAATATTATGCGACCGGTTTACGCGCGTGGCTCGGGCAGAGTGAGGTCTTACGGCAAGCCGTCGCCGCCCTTCAATATCTCCAGCGGTGTGAGACAAGGGTGTCCGCTGTCACCTTTCAACTTCGCTATTGACGAAGTGATGCAAATCGTGTCCATAGGATACGACTTAGAAGGTATAGGGCTGATCCCAGGTGAAGGAATTCTTGACTTGGAATATGCTGATGATATTGCCCTAATGTGCCCAAATGTGCCAAGCGGCATTGGCTGTCACCCCTTTTGGGCTTTGCTTTGCACCATCGAAATGCAAAGCGTTCCTCCAAGATTGGCCTGGACCGCCTCCTGCGTTGACCCTTGGTGGGGATCAGCTAGAAGTCGCTCAAAAGTTCAACTACCTAGGTATTTGTAACAGTGCCGTTGGAATTGAAGATAAAATCACAAACTGTATAGCAAAAACACGAGGCGATTTTGCTGAACTTCGCCACCTATGGCGCCGGCGCGACATCATTCTCTCACTGAAGGGTAGGTTGTACAACGCAGCCGTCTGTTCAATTCTACTATACGGCTGTGAAACCTGGGCCAATAGATCAGCATACATAAGAAGGTTAGCTACGTTGACCATGGGTGCCTTTGTAGTTTGGCTCATATATGACTGGAGCACCGTGTGAGCAATGAGCATGCTTGACGCCTTGTTTACGGCACAAGAAGGAGCAATGAACCGCGCAGCACCGTTATTGCACGCACCAGGCTCCGACAGTTCGGCCACGTGTTGCGCATGCCAGCCCACCGACTCCCGCGACGTGCGTTGTTTGCGCGTCGGGGGTGTGGATGGAAGAAGAGGAGAGGTAACCAAGCGATGACTTGGTCAAGAGGAATGAAAGCCTTTGCTTCGAAGTTAATCTTTGTTGGAGCCTCTCGGCTCCTTGGTTGGAGACCGAAGGACGATAAACACGTTTGGCTGGACACACTTGTTGAGATTGGTGGGAGCCGACGTCGATGGCGTTTGTGTTGTGAGTTTCTTTGTCCCACCTGCAGCTAACGTGTATAATGATAATGAGGGATATATATACCATGGAAGAATCTTTGTGCGCAAGTACACCCTATAGGTTGAATTCGACGTCCTCGTGATATGGAAGCACCAGAACGACAGTCGACCTGTGGTAAGCAAGGCGTAGAGCCTAAATGAAACAATAACAGCTCCGTTACAGTCGAAAGTTTTACTAGCTATCTCTCAGGGGAACAACTGTTAGGTGGCGATGCCGTGACCGAACTGTAGATTACCTAACACGCTCTCAGTTTACAGGCTAGAAGACGTATTTCGTGTGCAGACGACTGCATCGCAGTGAAATGTATGGGTATTCATGGGCAAGTCAATGGAGGCGCTGAGTGGCGGGATAAGTTTTCACCTGAAAAGCATCATCCATAAAAAATGACATATAAGTTGCATGAAAGCACAGTGGCCTGGCAAATGTGAGACGCCACTAAATAAAGTTACCGTCTCTGGGATTGTCGGTTCCTGGTATGGTAGCTAGCTATCGGAAAACGGTGGAAACTGATTATTCACCCCCGGCTTCCAACGAATGTGAGTCCTCTATCTTGTCCTGCCGCCTCGTGTGCTAGGCCCCTTGCCCAAAGGCTAGGGAACTGCCTCAAAAGAATCTACTACCTCGACTGAGGCAACTGGCTGGTATCTCGCATGTTAGTGGACAATGGAACTGAAGTGCACTCGATCGCCCTACAGATGGCATGACATGTGAGAATAGAGGTCAGTAACTTGTTGATAAAGGAGGGTATCCGTTTATTTGCGAAAATATTGAGCTTACTATTTTTGGTTGAAAGCACTATCTCGTCAATACAGAGAAAAGACAGAGGTTGCGATATGTCAACATTTCGATTGTTCTCCGCAGTAGCAAACACAATACGAGCATAAACACCCAAACGATTACATACCTAGAAAAAAACAGGCAATACCAATCAAAATGTCACAGTCAAGACCATGACAACCGGATTGATTGCCTCAAGGGTTTCTGTGCACATAGCACAGGGTGATGGGCCTTAATTAACAACGCCTCACTAATTGCCAGCATTATCGGGTTTTTGTTACGTAATAACACTTGAACGCTGTCTCAGGGTTCATGTGATGACGGGTTGCCATGAGGGGCTTGGTGATAGACGATGCCTGGCTCCGATTAATTATCAGATCCGTCCCATTTTGTTGCGTAATCACCTTCATTTTTCAAGCTTCGTCCCGATCGCATACAAACTCTCTTCTACCGGGCTCGTCGTATTTGCAGCCCCGAAACGTCAAAACCCGAAGAAGAACTTCTGTGTAAGACCTTAATTTCTAATGGATATCCTGAGAAGTTTATTCAAGTACACAGCAGACCTCCTAGCGTGAAAACACCGGTGAGGACAGCTGCTAAAAAGGTTTATTTGTTCTTGTCATTCAAGGGGACTATGTGGCAAATGATATCGGACGCAAGCTCCGGTCCGCCCTAACGCGCAACTATACGATAGCCCTGAGGCGACTCAAGCATATCACGCGAGGACTAGTTCTTCATAACCGTCAGAGCGTCTCGTCGAGTAGTTCAGCCTCTCCCGTAGTTTATCAGTTCACCTGCAGTTGCAGTGACATTTACTTAGGCAGAACAAACCGTCAGTTAGGTCAGAAGATAACTGAACACTTACCAAAGTGGTTGGGACAAGTGATTACGCAACAAAATGGGACGGATCTGATAAGTAATCGGAGTCAGGCATCGTCTATCACCAAACCCCTCATGGCAACCCGTCATCACATGAACCCTGAGGCAGCGTTCAATGTTATTACGCAACAAAACCCCGATAATGTTGGCAATTAGCGAGGCGTTGTTAATTAAGGCTCATCACCTTGTGCTATGTGCACAGAAACACTTGAGGCAATCAATCCGGTTGTCATGGTCTTGACTGTGACATTTTGATTGGTGTTGCCTATTTTTTCTAGGCATGTAAGCGTTTGGGTGTTTATGCTCGTATTGTGTTTGCTACTGAGGAGAACAATCGAAATGTTAACACATCGCAACCTCTGTCTTCTCTCTGCCTTAACGAAATGGCTGAAGGGGACCCACTGTTTTACATTTCTGAAAGCACTATCGCCAATCTGAGTTAGCTGATTGAAAAGATTTCATCCTTCTATACGTACTCAACTTAACATTCCACTTTTCGTACGAGCTCAACAAAAACCAATCGGGATCAAGTTCAAATGGAGCCCGTAAACCAAATGTGCGCGGTTCAGTAGGCACCACCTGAACGCGAATTGACTCGCAATCAGGGGATCGACTGGGCTGCTCCTGAGAGTGCCTCTGCACATAAGCCAGACAAAATCCTAGTTTTTAGTTATATAGTTGGTGCTACAACAGGGATATAAAAGACCACAAAAGTAAATGCATTTACTAAGTGGATTGTATAGGCTAATCAACGAGCCATAGGCCGAATGGTCTAATCGTCTGGCTTGTAACCCATAGGTTACCAGTTCCGTCCTACGCAGGTGCAGGAAACAGGTGGTAGTAGTGTGGAAGCGAAGCATAAAGTAAAGGTCTTGTTACAGGGAGATAGCTTACACCCAGCGTTCAAGCCGAGAACAACGGCGTAAGAGAGTGGATCGGTCTGAAGTTGGAGACCGAACTGGAGCAGACATCAAAACGAGAATTTATGTGGCATCAGAAACAAATTGGAGCATGAACTTGAACCGTTTGGATTGTGTTAATTAATGTTAATTAGCACCTCCAAGATTGTTGTGCTATTAGATGCCTACAACCTAGTTATTGCGTCATGCTCTCATACAATAGAGAAATCCCTCGGTCCGGTTAGTCTTGGTGTTCTCATTCCGTTGCGGGTTGAACTGATTGTTGGCGACACAACTGACTCAGGCAGGTTATCCGTACATTCAGCAAAAAAAACAACATATTTCTGGCGACAGGATGTAAATTTAATCAAGATAGCTATCACAGCAGAAGATCTGAAAGTTATCTTGCATCCACAGCAGCAATTCGAGCCAGCACAGCCGCGCATGATCGAGACATTCCCTCGAACACTATCGCTCTACTCTACAGCCTTCCACAATGCTGAGAATCCTTCAGTCGATGCGATAGTCAACGGTGTCAATGAATTCGTTTTGGATCCCGCTTAAGGGCTGATTTTCGATGCATGATTCAGATGTTATAAAGATATTTTCAAGACGGATCTGGAAAAGCTTGACGATGCACCAAAAGTGCGACTATTGTTGCGTAAACTCGGAAATGTGGAGCACGACAGATACATCAATTACATTCCACCCAGGACGGCTCAAGATTTTAGTCTTGACGAAACAGCTTCCCGACTCGAAAACGTTCGGCGATCAGGCATCGCTTTTCAACAATCGGTACAATTGTCTGAAGTTGTGCAAAAGTGACAGCGACAGTCACATTGCCCATGCCGCAACAGTGAAGCGAAAATGCAAAAATTCAAGCTGAAATCACATGCTGAAGATCAATTTCAGTGTTTGATTTTGGTGTGCCGTCTGCAATCCCCTAAGGATGCCGAGATATGGATGGGAATAGTAAGGTTTTTGGAGCGAGACCCTGACGTCACACTGCAGACTGTCATTGCAGAGGCCCAGATAATCATTAAGTTGAAAAAACATACAGCTATGATCGAGAACACAAAATCAGGCATTCCCGTCTACACAGCAAACACGATGCAACGTTAGGCCACCAGTTTGCTTGGTCATGACTTTGAGGTGAAGCATAGCTCCATAAAGGACATGGGCCAAGCTTATGTGCTTACTCGACTATTGGAAAATCAGAAGCCCCAGAAAGAAGAATCAATCATTGCAGCGATTTCCTTGGAGTCTGAAGTGAACCAAATCCTGATGGCGCTTCCGGTTACTTTCGAAATGGTGCGTGATGCATTAACCCGAGATCCAGTCCTTCAGCAAGTGATCAAATACCACACTACACACTAGCCCAAGGATAAACCGACAGGTGAGCTGGATAAGTTGTTCCTAAGGAAGGATGAACTGTCAATCGTCAACGGGTGCTTATTGCTGGCCGAACGAGTTATAGTCCCCTTAGAACTTCGCTACAGAGTTATACAGCAGTTCCATTGAGGTCATCCGGGTAGTAACAGGATGAAAATGTTCTCGGAGTCTCGTTTACTGGCCGAATATCGACTCGGAACTAGAGCAGATGCCAAAGTCATGTCAGAGATGTGCACTTGCCAGTAAGGCGCCCAGGAAAGCGGAGTTAGCCTCCTGGCTTCTGACAACAAAACCATGGTGGCGTGTACGTGCAGATTTCTTTGGTCCAGTGAATGACCAGCAGTATTTTGTTGGTTGTTGTTGTTGTTGACGCCTTCAGTAAATAACCCGATGTATTTAGCATGGAGCATGTGACCAGTGACGCAACGATCAACGTACTGAGGAAGCTTTTCAGCCAACATGGAGTGCCAGAAATGCTAGTCACAGACAACGGGTCACAGTTCACTTCTTCCTGTTTTGCCGAGTACTGCGCTCAGAATGGCATTACCCATGTACGCTCGCCACCGTTCCATCCACAATCTAACGGACAGGCAGAACAATTTGTCGATGCCTGTAAGCGAGCTTTGCTGAAAGTGAGGGAAGAGGGAACCACGCAGGAGTTATTGGATGCGTTTCTACTTATGTACAGGACGACACCGAATCCCCATGTCCCCAATCAGCTATCACCAGCAGAAGCGTTAATGGGACGAAAGCTTCGCACAATGAACGCGTTATTGCTTCCGAAGCAAGATACCCCGCAAGAAAAATCCTGGAGGACTACTATACCCAACAAAATAGGACACAAGCATGCCGATTCTACACGGCAGCAAGTTTTAGTCAGAGACTACCACACGAAAAGACCAAGATGAGCGACAGGTCTGATCCAAAGCAAATTTGGATCACATTTGGACCAGGCACGCTAATCAGCTTCGGCCAACTAGCATATCGATAAACACAAGCATTTGACCGCTACCGCTGGATATCCTGATGGACAGTTTCGACTTGTCAGTCAGTACATAGAACGCTTTTGAAACACCTTGCACGACCGTCCCAGAAGAGCCGATTATGCAACCAAGACGCTGTTCTGATGGGGTACGGAGACCTGTCATCAGAATGCAGTTGGATCCGAGACGAAAGTCATAGGTTACTTTGCGCGAGGGAGGTGTTACAGGAAGATAGCTTTCACTCAGCGTTCAGGCCGAGAGCAGTAGCGCAACAGTGACTGTACAAGATGACTGTACTGTATTGAACAGTATATGGTGATGGTTTTCCTAATGAAGAAAAACACAACTCAGCTGGAATTTTCCGGTCGCGATATGGGGATTGTTACAGGAAGATAGCTTTCACTCAGCGTTCAGACCGAGAGCAGTGGCGCAACAGTGGATTGACCTACAATTGGAGATCGAACTCGACTAGAGATCAAAATACGAGTCGATGTGGAATCAACGGCAAGTTGGACCATGAACTTGGACCGTTTGATTTGTGTTAATTAATGTTAATTAGCACCTCAAAGATTGTTGTGTTATTAGTTGCCCACAACCTAGTTATTGCGTCATGCTCTCATACAATAGAGAAATCCCTCGGTCCGGCTAGTATTGGTGTTCTCATTCCGTTGCGGGTTGAACTGATTGTTGGCGGCACAACTGACTCAGGCAGGTTATCCGTACATTCAGCAAAAAAAACAGGTCTGATCTTCCTGGATGTACAAATGTCACGTGGAACAAACAGCTCCTTGTAGCGCAGAATTCTAAGGGAAGAGACTTGGACTGATCAACTCAAAAATTTTAATCTCTGTGCCAACTCGAAATAAACAAAAGCTATTTCGATGTATAGTTGGAATGGGGAGGAAATTAGGCCGCGAGGAGACAAATGAATCAGAACACACCACAGTAAGAAAACCGTATCTTACTGAGGGCTGCCCTGAAGTGTTCATAGACAAAAACGTGCAAGTTGACTGTAGGGGTACCAAAGTACTCAGAAAAGGAAAGGAGCTCGTAAATACATAGCTCTGGTTCAGCAGAAAATACGCTATCAAAAGGATTAGCGAATGATTACGTAGGAAAACCAATAACACCTATGGCGTTACACGGTTAAGTGTTCACCTCACTTCCACGCCCATACACCACTAGTATGGTTGAAGAACAAATTGTCTGTGGATGTCATCTCTTGCTGTGTGCACCAGTTCACCCATTCCTATGGGACAAGTTGCATAGGCTATATCATTGGACATTTACCTGAACGTGTCCGCAATCATCACCGAGAGTGGCTAAGCCGACGATTGAACAAGAAGTGAACCACTGTAATAGCCGTACACCCGATCCGACCATCGCAACGAGACTGAACCTTAACATGGTAGGACGGTTTGCGTACTTGCTTGACCCATTGAGTTATACTGGGTAGTGTCTATGGGCCCCTTGAGACCTACTCAAACCAGCTGTTGCCGCCTTATCATTGCACGGTATCCAGCTGTTTGTGACAGTATGTTGTTAACACAAACTGTAGGTGCCTTGACCCTGAATGAAGGTTTTCCGGTAAGTCCCCCCTTCTCTCCCTCTTCTAATTCTTTATTTCATAGGTCATCGTGGTCGTATGTCAGCGAAGCATCAGTTCAAGTGGCTGATGTACTGCTGCTGTGATTAATTGACTAACATCCGCTCCAAACGAATCACGCGGTTGTTACCACGAAAGTTGCCGATATACCACGAGTAACCATTCTGAAATTACCACAAACCGAATCCTTCCACTGGAGAAAACGACCGCGAGTCGTCTCAACAACCCCCAATTGCGTGTGTGTGTGAGGCTACCCTGTCCTCTGCACGGCAGCAATGTGCAAGTCAGTGGATCGTGAGCTACGAGGTAGCACATCTTATAGGTTACTCACCATGATCGTTGTCGTCTCCCATGGTCTTAACCACGGACTGGTAACAGTCGAATTGTGGGTTCGAGCCCCTCAAGAGCCTGATGTAATGCGCACTGCTGACGATTCTCAGAAGGAATAGAACGGTCGTACTGTGATTTTTCGGGTGTGTGATGGCCATCTGACGGAGACTAGATGTGACGTATTTTGACATTAACTATTCCCGTTATCTTCACAATTAGTTAAGGGTTTGGTTTTACCGTGGTCAGCTGTCGATTACGTAGCTTCAACATGAACAAACCATACCCCTATGCTCATTTGGACCCCGATTATCCAATTACTTAATATTCCTTGTTTTGTGCTAGTTGTATAAATGTGCTGCACTTGGTCTGGTGATAAATAACCCAAAGTGAGTTTGTTTGCTGTACTGACTTTCGATAACTGAACCGGGAATTATTCGTCATTTGATGAAGACAAGTTGAAAATGAACTAGCATTGGTATTTAAGTATCATGTAAGACCCGCGCCCATCGCGTCACAGCTTCCAAATTCTGGGTGCCTCCAGCGAGTGAGTTTCCTGCAAGCGTCCAATCTCAATCAAAGGTCAGTAGTAAAGTTAACAAAACGCGTTATGAGAGAAAGCTATTAACACACAGTACGCAGCAACAATAGCCTGAGAAGCGAACTGAAATTAAAAGCTATCTTGAAAGCCTTCCAATTTTATAGCGACCGGGCTAATTGTTAGAAATAGTCGTTAAAATATCACTGAGAAAATCTAAGTTTCCGGAACATATTTATACACACACAGCAGATCGCTGGAATTGGTCGTAGGATAATAATGGAAGCGGAAGAAGACTTACCGTTGATAGGATCCAAATAATTCGGTGTAAGATGAGGAAGGATGAATGAGAGCTCGAATGAGCAGCTTGATATCGGTGAATTGGTAGCCCAGTAATTTTTGTAATCCGACAAGTTGCGAGCTGAATCTATCCATCACTTCTGTAAACGTTCCGACTGGGATAGTATCCAAATCCATAGGCGGTGAGTCCTCACTTGATTTTTCTGTAAACTGGAGCATTGAGCGCGATCTGGTCATTCCACGGACAGCGCTCAATCTGGAACGCGACCTCGTTGGTGATAATTCGGTGTGAAACAGTTTGCACCAAGTCCCATCAACTGGATCCACATGCCGTTCGAGGTCAGCGGATATGCCCAAGAAACAGATCAGTCGGAACGCAGCAGGAGGTCCCAAGTGTTGATGCAAGCACCCAATAAGTGCTTCCATCATATCAGCGAGTGATTTGTCGGTCAGTTTTATATGTAGTCGCGAGTCAAATTCGAATTTCATGGCCTGGGATAAAAAAAACACGAAGAGAGGGTATGATGATGGTGTGGTGGAGCCGATAACAACCCATACTTGTGACTAGAGACAATGCAAAAGAAGGCGAAAGCAGCCGTGGTTAGCGCTTGTTACTTGAACGTTAGACGCGTAGAAAGATTTTGAGAATTTTCCTGCTGGTTTTAAGCCAATTATGATAGACTTTGTCATAATATACCTTGATCAAACGCGAAACTGTATGACAGTCACCGTCTTAATTTCTAAGTTGACCACTTGTAACAAACCGGTTGGGGATACGACAGACACGAGATCAGAAAGGCAGCTGGTCTGTTTTCGCACAAACGGTTAGCGGCCCAACAGTCCAACTTAGTTTTCAGTACAAATTCACAAATAGGATATGCAAGTGTAGTCGGAACAAATAGCAAGCTTAGCAACTGATCGCGCCTTGGCTCAAAGGAATCTGGAGAGAGTGAGTTCAGACGTTGGCGTCCAGAGTTAGTTGACATCAACTGTGACGATGAAATTGGTGAAAGAGGCATCACAGATCTGCGGACAATGGGCCGCCATCAGTTATTGCGAGTAACGTTTTGCCATTAGCAAGAAATAATAGATAGCAGTACGAAAGTAGCCAGTACTGACGATTAGATGTCAAAAAGTCATAAGTTACGGCATCAGCGAAACAGTCTCCATCTAGATACAACTGAGCCGTCCCATAAGCAAACGCAAACGGTGTACCAGATGCGTTTCAAACAGGTGGATGGACCAGGTGGTTCGATAGCGAAAGCTACGTCAGTCTGAAAAATGCTACTCTGCTCTACAATATTTATGCTGAGATATGGTTGGCGGCATCCGGTTTCGGATTTGCCTGTCACTGTGGCAAGCCACAGGACGCCTGCGCCTACAGAGGGACCATGGATGGCTTGCGCTGCACCACCCACAGCTCCAACCACATACCCCATATCCAGTGTAAACCCGAAGGAATAAGACCGGGAGGCATGCGGATGGGAACCACGTTTCATCAACGGAGCCGGCCCACACTCCTTCACAGGCAAACACAAGCACGCTGTATTTGGGGAATCAACCGCACACAAGGCGGTGGCTGGACCGTAGTCCGCTCCACACTGAGTGCATGGAACCGCTCTTTGAGCCTAACACGGCCACAAGAACCGTGCACCCCGTCCCCTCCAGCAACGACCAACTGTCTCCTGGAGCCAGTATGAAGGACGTAGTGGGTAATAGACAGGTAGGCACCTTGTCAACATACACATCAAGCGCAACCATACCAGGGATATCAAACAACAGCCATTCAATTTAAACGACAAGCTGAAATAAAATAAATCCAATAATGCATACAGATACGGTGGCATAACTCTTCGCTAAATTACCATATGAAGTAAGTTGGTCAGCAACAAATCCGTGATAAGTAAGAAATGTCCACAAGTTACTTAAAATGCTACAAACGCAACAAAATTACCGAAGATAAGCGCAATTAGTGTAAGCAACGTGGCCATTAATAGAACATTATACAGGGAGGCAGAACAAACCAAATAAAGCGGAATGAAATTTATCCAGCTGAAAAAGACCTAGTTTAAGTGTAAGTTGGTTTAGCCCAACTGCGGTGAAGAAGCATCAAGAATGCAACATCAGCCTCAGCATGGGGCACAAAGAGATATATCGAGCTAAATAAAGGCATAAGTGACTCTCTTCTCTGACCTATTAACGACAAACGAGGCGCATCCGAATAAATCCACTATGATTTTAACTTCAATTCCCCAACAAGGGAACCAGAAGCGAGTCTATCTTATATTTTGGGAGTAAAATGATGCGAGATAACAGGTTTAGAGCACACTGTTCAAACTGACACACAACACCGCATGCTTAAACATGAAATAATCGGTGTGAATGGGGGTACGGATGTTCCTACAACTGTGGACTAAAAACTGTAAGCAATCGAAGAGTTCATCCAATGGTGTCCAAACCAATGAAAAGATCAACACCAGCATCCGTGAAGTTCGCTCGGGTTTTTAGATCCTCCTTTATCTAGTGTGGCGGCGAAGCAAACGCTTATCGTCCAACGGTAGGATAAACATCGTTGATACGCGTTGATCACAGGCCGTCGAACGCTAAGCCGGGATAAGGTTGTCCATAGAATGACCAGTCGGTGACATGACAAGAAAGGGCTAAGAACCAGTGGATGAATGGCTTGACCAGGCTAGTAGATGCTAGATAGAACAGACAGCATCAGTGTCGAAAGCTGCGTGCGAAGCGTCGCTATAAGCTAGATTTCGTAGACCCAGAAGCCTAGAAGACGCGATTAATCAACAGAATTTAGCCTAACCGTCAGTGGTTTTATTGTTAGCGGCCAAAACAACGATCATCCTGTAGAAGTTTATGCAATACCGGATTCAGCACACAAAACAGTGTCTCTCGGTAAACCGTGAGGTGGCACACATGACATGTGGTCCAAACGATGAAGTCCATTTAGCCCAACTGGTTCGCTTAGAAATTGCCTGACAATCATTTCAAAGTACTCATCCGCGAATATCGTATTCGCGGATAAGCCAGTACCGCCTGATACAAGTAGTGCTCCGCAGAAAACGGTGGTTAAAGACACGGACGTGGCTCGGATCTTTAAGCCGATGGTTCTATGTCTCATTGCATTTGCTGTGAAACGGCAGACATCACCCGCAAGTCTAAGGAAAACCCAGTCCTGGTGACCGAGTGCGGCGATTTGATAAGAAAAGATGTATTAGTAACGAGCAAACTGATTTCAGCTGTCAGGCGCCAGTCCGTGCCAAGTTAAGTGGCTAGTGGTCATACAACCTCATTCTGAACTAAATGGCGGGATCATTCTAAGTGGTCTGTTCAGAGTAGCCCGTGTCGTTTCGCGACTATCAAGCAGTGAAACGATGTCTGTGTAAACCAAATCGACCAGGTCTTGCTACTAGGATATGATAGTCACATCCATCGATCGGATTCCGCCGCCCTTCGTGAAACACAGAAGCTAACATTCAAGTTTTTACATGAAAGCATCGTAAAAAGGGATGATGAAGAATGTACCACAAAAAGCAATCCGACAATTTTAGCTCACCGAGCGGGGTACAGTGTAGCAGGGAAACAGAAAATGATCAGGAGGTGAGTAGGCTTGTCCTGTGCAGTATTTCGTCCATCCAAGGCGCAAGGCAATTTTGCATAAATTGGAATTGGATACCAAAGAAACCCGTTTGGCAGTTAGATAGCCTTCGTCTGCGCTGGCAGAAGAGCCACTGTAAACAGACAAGGTACCGATAAGTTGCAAGAAGGAGTCACCGAGTAACTCCAAGCGCTCTAAGTTGACTGCATCTCGACTGGCCAACAGAGTAGTCGCCTCGAGCAGGTCGGCAGGTCTTGACGCGCGCTCATCGATGATGACTGGGCATGCTCTGTCATCCAACATGAGATCATCGAGCGATGTGGATTCCTGTACTTCGAAATCCACATCCGTGAACTCGTTCAGTTCACTAAGCATACACCTCGGTTTGTCAATCCGATCAGGCAAGAGAACGGTGTGGGCGGTGGTCGGACGGATAGCAGACGGATCGCGTAACGCAGACACGAGTAGATCTGACAGCTCCACCGCAGCAACGGCTCGTGTTAACTGGTACATCACCACCGGGAGGACAGACATGAGGAACCAAAGCCAGGCGGACAGAGGATGCACAGCACAAGCGTCGGCCAAATAGAGGGCACAGGGGCCACGTGGCCTCAGACGCTTGTCCTTGCGCATTCCGGCGACGGCTTGTGCGGCGTTCTGATGCCGAGTGAGACGGAAACAAGTGGCCAGTGGTAGTCGGGGATCCGAATTCTCTATCAATTCGAGTATGGATGGGGAACGAATGGCAAAGTAATCGAAGTAAGACAAAATAGGGCTGGGAGTAGTGGTGGACTCAGTGGACTCGCTCCCTTGCAACGTGGCGAACACCTTGTCAGCCCATTCACTGGGGACCTGGTCCAGACCGGTTTTCTGACTGGGCCCAGAGATTGCAAACATGGCTGGATCGTCTGCCGGTAGCTGGCAAGGTCGCACCATAAGACCTGCCCAATTGTGAACTGGAAGTTGGCTCAATCGAACCGAGTAGATGGGCACAATACCGTGCACAGGTTGTACCCTCGATTGGTGTGTCTCGTAACTCCAATCGCGTCTCGCATTGTTCCATTCCAACAATAGCTTTGTAGCCTCCAGATCTAGTTCACCGGCTGGAAGAGAGCGAAAAAAATTAAGTACGGAGCTAGATAAGGCGAAAATGCGCAGGAAACGCCACAAAACGTCAAGATGCTGATAGGTTAGCCAACGAAATGAGCCGAAACATGAGTAGAGGCAAATGATACATTTATATGATGGAAACATCTAAGCAGATCTAAGCAGGTCCTTCACATAAGTGTGATAAGTCACAGTGAGTTACAAAGAGAAGTGTAATAGCACGAGAAAAGAATAGAAGATTGAACGTTCAAGAGGCCCTGTAAGTGGTGGGATTTCGGGGTTGCTCCCTGCCAACATTGACACCCCATGGCCGGTTTCGCTCTCGTTCGGACTCATCAGGTAAATATAGCCGGAGCTGGGGCCCGCAGGCGTTACATCACAAATGACGTTACTATGATGGTGGTGCCAGCCGTACGCTAGCTCACCAGAAAGGACTCGTTCTCACGAGCAATTGGCATAGATGAGAGTAGAGGTAAACAAACATGCAACTACGGAAATTGACGATACTCGCTATGGAAGTAGACAACAGGGTCATCGCGAGTGGTACTCAGGGCGTACAATTCAGTTCAGGTTCGGGTACCGAAGTGCAGTGAGCAAAGTTACCATGATTAGCATTACCTGTGTAAATATTTATATTTATTCTTAAAACAGACAAATATGTCAGCAGAACCATAGCTATAATGGTATGGAAAAAATAGTTCAAAAACAAAGGAAAACGCTTTTCGTCTTTTCTTTTTTGTTTTTTTTTGTATTTACACACGCCGTTTTGAGTATATTGGTTGGTTTAGAATTAAAAGGTGGATGAAAGGAGAGTGTTTGAAGTGCATTGACGCCACCGAGTTTAGCTAGGAGCCATAAGCTCCAAAACGCCCAGCTATTTGGTGTCTTCATCACGTGGTCCCCAACCTGGAAGACGGACAGATCCTGAGGAAGCCAGACATGTGGTGACATACCGGATATTCCTCTTCAACGTCATCGGTTGTGCACCCCGGCATTTTCTCCACTCATGCCCAGGAATTGCAAATAACCAGTGTAAGAGGAAATAATGACGCTATCAGACGTAGATTGCGAGATAACATCAACATTTTGTGTATTCACTAAAATCATGTAGACGCAGCCAATATAAGTTTCAAAGGTCACGTAAGATTCAGATGGGAAAACAGCACGTGGAACCAAGGCACTACAGCTGTTTCTCCTGCCTGAATATCCTAGTATACGATCATAACTAGCAAACACCGAAATCGAGGTTCGAAAATATGCGCGCTTAGGAATGAGAAGAAACCAGCTAAGTACTTCAGAGCGACAGATATGGGCCATCTGTGGCAGTCGGTGATGTGGTCAAGGTGGGTCTAGGATATTAATCCGTTGATTAGGCACTAGAACTTATATGGACCACCGTGTGGAATGGGCGTCATTAACTGAAACAACGGACGAACTCAGGAACATAGGCCGCAAAGCAGAGGATGAACGTGCTGACAAGAACTACGTTTGAAATAGCATCAGAAAGGTGTATCTATGGTTTCCTGACGATTCTCCCAGAGAGCAAATGACACCGATGATGAATGAATCCAAGACATGGGAAAAGCAGTTGAACACACTAGGTTATCAATGGTTTAAACGTACTTTTAACGTTCATGATGCAAACTAGGCAAAGGGCGCGTGAGGCCACCGGGTCGAATTCCAGTTCAGTGTATGCGTTCCGCACAGAAACACCGTTGGGATCTGTAGTTTTCTGTTCGAATACAGAACGCAATCTGAGATCACTGTGACGCAATCCCACATGGGACAAATCGGCGATGTTTGTTAGCAATTCGGCAACGATGTGATGGGCGGAAAGGATGAGTTTCAGCTGATCGTCAGTAAGGAGGAGCCGTCGGATCAGGCGTACACGAGCCCGAGTCATACCACGTGTTAAGTATAGGGGAATTCGACAAACGTAGTCGCTCTGTCGGATGTGGAGAGAGTAAGTAGGTAGGTATATAGGTAAGCAATGAAGAATTCCGAGATAAAGTGTGCTGCGTTATGTGAGTGTAGCAAGAGTAGGAAGGATAAAGTGACGCCGTGAAATAACCTCTATAAAGCACAGCAAAAAGCATAAGATTGTTCCGTTCTAAAAAATAAATAGCGATATACAATGTAGCAAGGTAAAGCAGGGCTTCATGAATCGGCAGCCATCTATTCGATTGCAAAGTTCAAATGAAGCTAACCATCGGCTGAGGAGCCATCGATGTTGCTAATTACAAACATTAAAAATAAACATAAATCGTCAGCTATACGCCGTCACGGCGCTTCGCTACCATTCGACCATCACCAACCGCGCGTGAGCTGAGTATACCGCGAGGACGCCCACCCCTACGCGGGTTCCAAACGGTGACCTCATGATTGTAATCTAGGTGTGCAGACTACTAGGCTATCGGCCGATCCAACATTGCTAACTATAAGCGGTTTCACCATTTGTTCAGCTCTGAGAAGCCTAGATGCTGCGAAAGCTGCCCGATGCATGTGGGTTAGGTCGCTGAGTTCGGTCAATAACGATCGGTACAGCAGTTAGGTGGTCTGCTTGGGGTTTTGAAGAGTCTCCGGTGAGCTTAGATACAAAATTCCGATTATCGTTAATCGGGAGGGAGAACCAATCAATGGTGGGGGTGTGCGACGCCAAAAGTGGAATTTCACTATGATGACTGAAGTGATTCGAGTTGACAGCAAAATGAATAGCGGTCCAAAATCGGGTTCAAGGTTGCGATTCAGATTCACCATACGAGTGAGAGATCAGGTACCCGTTTACTGCTCCAGTGCGTAGTGCATCAGCCATGGTTCTGAAGTGGTCAGTAGGAAGTTCCATTGGTGACCCGATAAGGGTGACGCAGCAACAGTACACCGAGGAGCCTCATCAATGCGTCGCTGCCACGCGACTACCACCACCGGTCCCATGTGGGTTGGGTATACAGTGAGGTCGCGCATACCTACGCAGATTCAGACCGACGGCTTTCGGACTACAATGCAGACACCGTTTTAGTTTCATCAGCATTTCTTGTCCGAAATTAAACATTTGATAATAAGAGGAAGGAGGGCAATGGCTCCATTTATTTCTATCACGAGCTATAACACCCAAAAATTATAACCACTGGTAAGGAAAAACGAAAGGCATCACCAGTACGCCGATACGCAGTATCAACGCTTCGCTACTGCGCAACCACAACCAGTAGCACGTAGGCTAAAGATACTGTGATGATCGAAGGGTTCTCTACGCAGGCTGGAATCCGTGACCTCCCTACTACAATGCAGACTTGTGATCCTTAAGGTTACCGGCCAGTGGTAGTCCAAATCCCATGGTCCCCAGCCTCGAATACAGACAGATTCAACCGATGCTAGGTATGAGGTCACATTCTTCAGGTTCCTTTCCCACGTCACGCGTTGCGCATCGCAACACTCTCTTCATTCGCATCTAGAGAGTGTAAGTAATGGTGACGAGGAACGCGATTGGCCAGTGTGCGTGCCAAGTGACCGAGTCAGCGATGTTAGAGAATAATGTAATGGAGGTATGGACTGTTCATTCCGAGCACATGGCTTCTAACTCCCGCACTGCTTACATGTCGGTGCCATCACACACGAGCAATACTTTACAAGCAACGGTTATTGGAAGCTGACAATGATTTCGGGTATTTCAAGTGAAGAGGTCGCACAACAGGGTCGCATGAACGGTGGTATTGTATACTATACTCGTGAGCTTGGGGCGTAGAGTATGATGTTGGCAAAAGTGTCTACGCTAAATGAATACAAAGTGAGGTTTGGCTATAGCAGTGAAAACTGGTAGCTCAGGTTGTTCAGATGGCTGTTGAACTGTGCGCTGAGCTTGGCAATTTTGTTGCAAACGTTTCGTCACCAATCGAGGTGACATCATCAGTGCGTAGTGGAGTGGCATGCAATAGCGTAGAGTAGCGTAGAGGAGCCTCGGTGAGAGGCTCCGAGGCTCCTCTACGCTACTCTACGCTATTGCATGCCACTCCACTACGCACTGATGATGTCACCTCGATTGGTGACGAAACGTTTGCAACAAAATTGCCAAGCTCAGCGCACAGTTCAACAGCCAAAATGAGGTTTATCAATTCGTCGTAGATTGCTGTCTTTAACACTGCCATCATCATGGATACACGTTAGTTGTGAGGGAGAAACCACTTCAGCTAATGTATCGCACTTTATTCCCGCGATAAATAAAGCTATCCACTTGGTCAAAGTTATGACTTGAAGTCCTAAAGCAAAGCCTTACACTTGTGCGGAGTGAAACAAATATCGTACTTGACTATTTCAGACGGCCTGTGGATCGCCCCGAATAAGGCGATGTCGTCGGCATAATCCAAACCCGCAGCAATGTCACCGGGGAGTAGCTCAACGCCTCAGTTATGGGTTCCTTTCGGTGCTCGGTGGAGAACATCGTCGATGATAAAGGTGAACAGGGACGGTAAGATATGTGGTATAACGGTTCGCTTAGCCGGAATGAACGACACGGTCCATGGGAGTTCTACTCCCGAAGCGAACGGCACATTTTGACGGAACTGTTTCCAAAGTGTGCGCGGCTCAACGCTCAACACTGGTGCACCCTAACCCAAAGGAGAGAGTTGACAAAAATTCGACAAAGTGCTTATAGGATACGAAAAACAGGAGTACAAAACTGTGCAGCCTCGATACTATACCCAGGCTAGCGACGTTTGGGAACTTCCACATGGTACACTTCGCACAGTTAAGCGTGAAGAGACGAGAGTGTAGCGGAGCAAGTGGAATCAGGTAAGAGCTAGGAATAAGCAGAGACGTGTCATATAGGTTCACAGGGACGCGAGTATATGGGCTAAAAGTGTGTAGGCGGAAGTGTTGCTTGCTCGGACAGAGCTTATAGGATATCGTGGAGGAGCGTTTCCCATAACAACAGCCTTTGAGTACTACGCCAAAAATGGAAACGTAAAAGAGTCTGCTTTAGGCCCTAAGTTTGTCCGATTTGTAACCATTCAGTGTGAAGCTTGAGTGAATGTAACTGACCGTGTGTATGCAGACAGAGGACTAATCGAACGTCACTGATGGAAGCTGACCACAATCGCAGGAGCAGAAGAAAATGCAGAATCGACTGGCTAAGAAGCAAACAAAGCGCATCTTGGTTGTGAGCAAGAGAAACCAGATTAACCGCAACAAATGCAAGCGAAGAACGTGCGTGCGTCAACAAATCCATGATGAGAACACAGGATACAAGAGTTACCGGTCAAGTGAAAAAACAGCGGCGACGCATACGCAGTGGAAAAAGTGCTGCTCATGCTACCTGATTTTATAATCGTAAGGGGCGAACGAAGAGTGAAGAAGTGGGGCGGCCAAACATAAGTTTAACGTGACCCTAGACCCTAGGCAGTCAATGAATCAAGGGCGCTTTTGTATTTGTCTCATGCATCTAGATGAAAACATTCAATTCTGACTAGGTTTGCTTATTCTCCCCTTGCGTTCTACATCATTACTTTGCGAATGTTGCTTGCTGATATTCCAGTAAGGCTAGTAGTGACAACTAGATCCAGCGCACTTTAATGCCCTGATCCTAGTCGACTGACCATGATTCTCCAAATAGTTCCAACTCAAATTCACGTGGGGGTTTTGTACAGCCTCAAAAGTTTATCCTAAAACCAAGTGGGAAGATTCCATCGACAAAACAAACGAAAAAGTAACGCGTGTCAGGCGCTTGCCTTTGAAATTGGCTTAGAGAACAGCAACCCAAATGCTTGTTCTGTATTGGTGAAGCACCTAAGATCGATAGCGGCCAGTTTGGCCAAAATATTTGGTGCGGCCAAAGTCCAAGTATAGAGAAACACATGTTTTTCCGGCACGGGAAGTGACTGATACGGGGCCGTTAACACATACGCAGTCTGAAAAAGAGAAAAAGCAGCAAGAAGGATTAAACACTGGGGCTTTTATGTGGTTACAGGGGGAAAACAAGACACGGAATAGAACTAAGCTATACTACTACCCAGTAGTTGGCTCACCTGTACAAATCGCGGGGTTCTGTAGGCTGTTATCCACCAAACTCAAAGCACAGGCACCTCGAGTTCCCGCGTTATGAGCTTAGTAACTGGGTTGTTAGATGGAAAACATACACTTCATCGTCGAAACCAGTTCCAATTGGGTGTTGTAGGGATTCGGTGCATAATTTTGCCTGATAGTTAAATGTATCCACTCAGCTTAAGGAGCAATAATCCCAGTTGAAAAACTAGTACCCACTGTAATTGAGTCTGCATATTGTATATTGTCTCACAGGCGCTCTTACGCAGGTAGTGTCCGAGACAATTTCAAACACCGCGGAGAAATAAAGCCATCAAACGTCCTGATAGATGTGTTTGCTTCGCAGAGTTGGACAGAAAGACCACTAGTATCAGTGGGACAAGCACTGGCCGCAAAACGGTTTATGAGGTTAAACATGAATGAACTACCGCTTCGGGTTGGGTTCAGCTTCTCTTTGTGCTGGCTTAAATAAGTGCTTAGCGGATAAAGTCAATTGGCAGCAGTTCGCTCGCGGAACATACATTACAGTACTCAGGATATTCAATAAATCCAGTTTGTATTTCTACCAGCCGTCAGCCGTGGTCTGGCGATCTCGACTCCCGGGCTGGGGGTGCAAGGACCACAAACACACTTGGAACTGAACTGAACACGTTTGGCTGGAAGTCGTTTTGAATTTAGTCAGAAATCGCGCTCAATGGTAGACAAGCTATGAGGCCCTCCTCCCATAATTAGTGTTTTACAGATGTTCCCCTCGTTATATTGTATTTATGCAAATGTGGTAGGATCATCAACTGTACCGATGCTGACCAAGGATGGTTAGTGGCAGCTGGTTCCGGGCTTGGCTGTCACTGCGGACTACACTGGGACAACCACACGACGCCTGTGCTTCCAGAGGGATCATGGGTGGCTTACGCTGCACCACCCACACCCCATATCCAGTGTGCACCCGAAGGAATAAGACCGAGAGGTATGTGGACTGGACCCACTTTCATCTACGGAGCCGGCCCACACTCCTTCACATGCAAACACAAGCGCGCTGCATTTTGGGGATCAAGCACACACGAGGCGGTGGCTGAACCGTAGTCCGCTCCACATTAAATGAATGCAATCACTCTTCGAGCCTGAAACGGCCAAAGGGACCGTGACTGCGCCCCACCCCCAGCAACGATTCAGCCTCCAGGAGCCAACAATTGAGGTGAAGGGTGTTAGGTAGGCACAATGTCAACATGCCCAACAAGCGCAGCTACACCATGGATGTCAAACAAGAGCCAATCACATGAAAGGACACTATTAAATAACAGTTATTGAATAAAGCATACGGATATACCGACTTAACTCTTCGCTAAATGAGCATATGAAATAAGCTGGTTAACAACAAATCGGCGACAAGTTTAGGATGTCAGAAAAAGATACTTTATAAAAATGCTACAAACGCGAAAAGGTTAACAAACTTAACCACAGTCTGCTTAAGCGACGTGTGTAAGTAAAAGGTAGCTTATTCAGACAGATCTAAATGACTTAAGTATTAACAAAATATAGCACACCATTCAGCTGAAATAAAGAAACTCAGTACGCAAGCACGCTGTTAGTAAACCGAATGCAGCGTACCTACCAAGGCTGCGCCGGTTCTGCTTACGTTCTCACCAGGACCCTTCATCGTAGACGAAGATATGATAGGTCAAAAAGGATCAAAACTGTGCGTTTGTGATACAACGCGCAGAGTCTGTGAAAACAAGTAAAATGATAAAAAGGTGACTAGATGGCACGCAAGCTGCCAAAGATGAATTCAGCAATAACTGGCGCCTTTCTACAGTGCAAATGCGAGCAGCTGCAAGTACTGCCGGAAAGTCCAAGCTAATGCGAGAATGGGAGTTCGAACTAGGGGCACAGAGATTGCAAATCGGAAGGCTGAACAACCACACAAAGCTATAGCACACCTGCAAAGGATATAAAGGGTTTCTCTTCTGAAGAGGTGAGGACGAAGAGCACTGAGATACACTGCTTCCAGTGTCCGAAGAAACAGCACAATTATCGAGCCTTACGGAAGACCTGTTAGGGGCACTTGGAGTAGTGAACTCAGTTTCAACAAACAGCGAAGCTGTGTGATTGGGACAAAGCGAATCCAAGGGTGAAAAGCCACGATCTTGATCACCAGTGAGCGTGGGGGAAGGAGATAGATCCGAGCCCTCACCACTGTCAGATCCCGTGGATGAGTCGGGTGATTTCTTTAGAGTGCAAGACTGTTGAACTTTAAGCCTGGGAGCAGGAAGCGCCCCATTTGTATGCAAAGTTGATAACGAACACGGTTTGGAACTAACTGGAGGGAACCAGATTGGCTTGCGGGATTGCAACGAAGTTCGGCCTTGTGGTATCATGGTAATTTCTAGATGGGCAAAATAAACATGTGGGGGTTAAAATAGAGAAGCCGAGCAAAGATGGTGTGAAACAGAGCATTGCTAAAAACGTGAAAAGGTCACATGAAACGAGCCTCATGGGTGAACAATAGAAGAAAAAAAGACCCCAATTGAAGCATCAGTTCAAATGGCTGGTGTACTGCTGTTGTTCATTTATTGATTGATTAATACCCAGTAGCAACTTACAACTATGATTTGGAACCATGAACAGATAGAGGCACACACGCACCTGTGATGGCAAATAGAGATTTAAAGTCTACTGTTAAATGCGGGTCCAGTGAAAAACGCTGTCAAAGTCGATTTAATTGTTGAAACACAGGGCACCGAGGCGCGGTACATCCGGTTGTTGTAATTTCAATCACATTGGCGAAAAAATAGAAATAGGGGAAAAACGGAAATTCGTTGGATTGGAAGAACAACAACAAGAGCCAGAAGAACAACTAAGGTCGAAAGTATATACATATATATATATATATATATATATATATATATATACATATATATATATATATATATATATATATATATATATATATATATATATATATATAGCTGGTGGGAGAGCCTATGGTGCGCTGAGGCTGGTGGTGGCTAGATCCTGGCAGATGGTCTATCCATTGCTGCTACTGTTGTGTCATGTCCTAGACGCCTCCTCGTGGTGACCGCAGGGTAGGAGTTTAGTTACGCCCTTCTTCCTGCTAACATCCAGGACACCAATCCGCATGAGTCAGTGAACTGACCATGTGCTAGACCCGCTGCCTTTCGGGTGTACATTTAATCGAAGCCTTTGGACTAGCTAACCTAAGCGGTGCAAATTTAACACTTCAGTAAGGCACAAGAAGGCTAGTTGTCAAAATCGAATTGGCGCACCACAACATTGCTCGCCAGGAGTTCCTAGCAGAGGTAAGCAATAGTCTGTAAGCAAAAGTGAGCTAACACCCCCAAGTGTTTATTCAATTACGAATTGGCCAGGTCTCTGATCCAACACAAACACCGGCTATATTACAGCGATATTCACCCCACTTTCCACTGATAGGCTGACATCCTGCTGCCTCTATAGATGGTTGGCTCACTGGAAATCCACATGGGCTTTGTTGATACGAGTAGTAACTTCCTCAATGATGCGAGCACCAGAGGCGACACAGCTACCAAACTAAGAGAACCGATTAACTACTTTCGGTGACTCTTCGGTGATGGAACCGGTGACGTCTCAGAAAGTAAAATGTATCAGGAGACATTATTTCACCATGAAAATATTGTGAGCCAATGGTGTGCAGTTAAAGCAAAGTCGTTTAAGGGATATCCGCGTCAAGCACATGACGCACACACCACCTACCTTCAAATGCAATTGGGACCGGAACTATAGAACAATCGCGTGTCTGTTCCTTCTTATGAGTATCGTTGAACCAGGATAAGGTAATTTGAAATTTTGATAAACCTAAAACAAGAATAGCATCATATTTTGGCCAACCAGTTAATGTCCGCATATGCTGCACAGCAGAGACTTCTGGGTTGCTTACGTGAAGTAAGAATAGACAGTAAATGCAGAAAGCAATGGGTGCACATGGCAAGTATTAATGAGGCTAGGGCATGGTATAGAGTGGAAAAAGTACAAGAAAACAATGGAGAGACAAAGGTATATTCTAAATCACGTGCCCCGAAAGCGAGTTACAACGTCTAGGAAATGGGCGCGGCAGAACAGTTTCCATCCTAACTCAATCAGAACATCATTATTTGGTACAAACTTCGCACCTTCAAAGTGCAAAGTATTGCTGCAGGACCACCAGCCACTTGATGACCCCTTGACGCTTGCTAACGAGGAACTCGAGGTGGTTGATCATTTCACTTATCTTGGCAGCCGCATCAGCAATGATGGGCGCATAGAAACTGACGTGAGCTCACGCATTGCAAAGGCCAGAGCTGCCTTCTTGAACCTGCGTCATCTTTGGCGACAGAAGGGAGTTTCCCTTCGTCCGGAAGCCCGTGTATACAAGGCCACAGTGAGGGCCGTTCTGCTCTATGTTAGTGAAATTTGGCCCCTTCGGTCTGAAGATCTGAGGCGCCTTCAAGTCTCTGATCATCGTTGTTTGCGAAGCATTGCTGGTGTCGGATGGCACCAGCGTGTCCGCAACGATGATGTGCGTAGGCGAGTACTAGGTGGTGATAATCACGCTAGCTCCCTAGAACAACAGATAGCACTGAATAAGTTGCGTTGGCTCGGGCACGTGCTACGCATGCATGGTCACCATTCACCTAGGAGGGCCTTGTTCAGTCTACCAGGTGTAGGATGGCGCAAAGCTCGAGGTGGACAGAAGTTGACTTGGCAGCGGGAAATGAAGTCACTGACGACCAAACTGGGTGCCGTTGGTCCGTCTCGCCTTTCGGGTTGGAGTCCACGTGACTCACCTTGTGCTTGGCTCGAGACTTTACAGGACATGGCTCGCAACCGACACCAGTGGCGCGTCTGCTGCAGTCTCCTAATCGGATTGTCTGTTTAAAGTGTGTTTGGCGCTCAGTTATCTGCGGGATACTGGCTGATTATGACGCGGGGCAGTGAAAGCCGCAAGGAAGCTGTCTCGCCGATGCCGCCTTATCTTTGCACGATAGTCAGCTGTTTGTGACGGTATGTTGTCTACACAAGGTGTAGGCGCCTTGACCCTGAATGTTTGCTTAGGGCATTAAGGTTTTCGGGTAAGTCCCCTTTCTCTCCCTCTTCTTATTCTTTATTTCATAGGTCCTCATGGTTGTATGGCAGCGAAGCATCAGTTCAAATGGCTGAGGTACTGCTGTTGATGACTGACTGATGACAATCAGAACAGGGTTTGTCCAGCTACAACAAATGACCGAGGGGACTTAATGGAACTAAACAGCTAAGACAAGTCCGGGCGGATTCTACTCATCAAGCGTTAAGTCCCCTCTAATTCTCAGGTAGTGCATTTAGGGCATTCTGAACCTGAGCAAATGTTCGGCATACGTATATCCCCGTAAACAATGCACTAACCTTTCCCAGTTCCATTTTGTCCCGAACAAGACATGGTGGACAAGCCTGGATACAGTACTCCAGGTGGAATCACACAAAAGTAAATAATAGTTTCACAAAAAGTCGTTGAGAATCCAAAGAAACCGTGACTAAACAACATCTATACAAACAGGCTTATTTCAATTATCGCGAATGAAGGGCAGAAAATTGGGACGAGACCTAGATAAATTCGCTGAGTGAAAACAGGAATTTCACTTCCGCCAACAACACAACTGGTGAGGGGGGACTAGCAGCTACGATGAAGACAGAAGACTTTGCCTGATTTATGGGCATGAACCATAAGGCTGACCAATCCCAGAGCTTATCCAAAGCACCCTGAAATGCCATAAAAGCCCTAGAGATACGCACAATATTCCAGAGCTTTAGGTCATTAGCAAACAGTAGCGACGGTACCACAAGTTCCTGGGGTAGGTCACTGACACAAATTACGAATGTGAATGGACCTAAAACCGAGCCCTGCGGAAGGCCGCTAAAAATAGCCAGCCTAAGCGAAAGGCTATACCCCAAGAACAAACTGTTCCCTTCCCTTCAGAAATGCAGACGCACAAGTAAGGAAGCCAACAGATATCCGGTAAGACTTCAGTTTTAGTAAGAGCAGTAAATGGCGGACAATATCAAAAAAATTCGAGAAATCCTCGGAAAGCAGGTCAATAGAATGGCCACTGTCCACCACCTCAGCCCCGGGGTTTCACGAGGCACCAGTAAGCTTATCAGAAATGAAATCCCATATAAAATGTGTTGTGCAGCAATGAGGTTAAATTTATATAGGTGATTCACCACGCAATTACTGAGCAACTTTTAAAACAAATGGACTATTACGCCTGTTTAACTTATAGGCCAGTTGTTAGCCGGTATAAAATCCTGGTAGATGATGGCCTCCTTCCGTTCCGGAATTAAAGCACGGATGTCAACCTACTTTGAAAGTACGCATGTAAGGTGATCCTTAGTTTAGCGGCCAATTCATTCAGCAGCTCCGGATGAATAATGGACGGAAGGTTTATAAGGGTTTAGCCCCTCTAATAGTCTGAAAACTTAAGTATCCGTTATGCTGCTTACGGTTAGGCGGGAATCCTCAGGAACTCTTGAGACCAGCGCAACCTGTGATAAAGAGGTCTCTTGAGCTGTTATAAACGTCCTAGTAGGGTATCGACTGTCCTAGTCGGAACGGACGAACTCCATTATTCGTTGTTTCCCTAGCCTAGACGATTCGTATTGGAACGGCTAGTGGACTTAGCTGGCAGACGTGAACCCGTAACTGAGAAGGTAGACGAACACGTAAACGCCGCACAACTATACCGAGACACACAGAAAGAACACTGGCCAGTAGTAAGAGTGCTTCTACTAACACAACCAAAGCAACCGTGCTTTCTACATTTTCATACTTGTAGTTAACTAAAACTAGTAATTGTATAAACTATAAGGGAAGGCGTGTGCTTGTTGGTACATGAGTTGTTACTTGTGGATTTTTGTGGGTAGTGTAATTTTCGTAGAGAGTAGAAACCACGAATAAACTTCGCACAATAATCTGTCTCGACGGGGAATCGAACCCCGGTCCCACGGATTACCGGTCCGCTGCTCTAGCACTGAGATACCGAGGGCTGACGATTAGATGCGCAATTTAATACATGACTTCTGCTTGGTTCGCGACGTATTGCCAATGAGCTCACAGTATCTGTCCTGGTGTTGCAGATTGGCTCACTTACTCGTCACTTCCCAATAAACCGAAGTATCTGTCCTTCTGATGTTCAAAGGGTTGAGTTGTTATGTAATGGTCCTATCTCCGGGCAGAAATGGGGTGGATTCGATGCTGCTGTGACGTAGGGCACATCACAGCTGCAGTGTGCTCGGTGGCTAAGGCATTGGCATGAACACGGCTCAGGAGGCAGACTGTTGACTTGAATACTGAGAACAGAAGCGAGAAGATAAAAA